CCTTCAACACCTCCGCCCCTCCCACAACCCCAGCGCCGTCGAGCTCGGTGTTGTTCTTGATGACATCGCCATCAATGCCGCCCCACGTGAACATGGCTTCTACCTCGTCCACGATATCGGCCATCACGTCCTCGGCGATTTGATCATTGAAGCGTTCGCCCATAGCACGGACGGGCTCTCCAGTTTCAGTCTGCTTGGGTGGACCAACCCACCACGGCCCCTCGAATCGGCATTCGACGGCACCGCCGCCGTAGCAACTAACAGCGGGATAATACCCGATCAGGCCGTCGTCGGCATTCTCGCGCTCGCCAATACCGAGATTGTTTGTGCCGTTGGCGAGACGGCTTGCGGGCGGTAGGAAGGCGTAAAGTTCTTTGAAGGGAGTGCCCATTTGTACTCCGTTCTTTAGAATGGTGATACTGGACCCTGGGAGGGTGCGGAGCGTGGCGTCTTCGCTGTTCAGAGGGGACGGGGGACCGAACGTCGGTGTTTCTTTGAGGTTGAAAGCATAGTCACGGAGGTGTTTTGTAGAGAAGACGTTAGATTGCTGCCAACAGAAATCCGATTTGTAGTGAAAAGGAATCCGATCTCGGATGATGTTGGTTGCCATCGGCGGTGATGGGGTATTATTGGTGGGATCGTAAGTGCCCTCGACAATCTTCTTGTGGAGAGAAAGAGGTGGAAGAGTAATGAGCATGCCGATAACATCGCCTTCATTGATGGCCTCCCCCTTGGGGAAGAAGAACTCGCATCGCATGCGATTGACAACTTCGCCGTTCACATCTCGAATCCCATACCCGTAGCAATCCACCCCAACATTCACGTCAAGGTCGGCCTCACGTCGGGCGAATCCAATACGGACATGGCCACGCGGTGAAGTTGTCGGTCTGCCGTTCTGAGGTGCCTGGGGATCATTGACTATGCCACTAATCACACGAGCTTCGTAGTAATACGTGCCCTCTCGAGCACATACATTAGCGCGGGCAGTATGCCACGCATCACTGGTGGTCACCGCAGTCGCGTTCTCAGAAAAAAATATGGCAGCCGGTGAATCCTCGAAACTGAAGCGGGTATGGTACGGGTGAACATCCGTCTGTCGATATTTGATATGAGGGAATCCGGGGTCTGCAATGGCGTAGCTATAACGAAACCCATTCTTGTTGGTAAGTTTATCGACAACCTCGTAGAAATCCCAGCTCTGACCCAAAACGTTCGATGTCTTTCGGCTCACGCGATTCAACTGGCGAGGCTGTGGAGGGTACCGATCCGAGTCGTGCGGCTCGGCGAGCAGCAATGGACGAAGAATGCTCAGTTTTGAGCTGGGCAAGGCTGTACTGGGTGCGGCTGTGGCTCGCCTTTTTGGTGGAGGTGCGTTCTCGGGGTCTAATCCTTTGGCTTCACGTTTCTTGCGGCTGTCTCGCTTGTTGCGCTTGGCTCGACCATCGCCTTGGGCGGATGGGGCTGGAGATGATCGTGGATTCAGGTCGGTAAATTGCGCATTAAGCAGGGGTCCGCCATTGGGGGGTAGAATCGGGGAGTTGATGTTGGACGACGGAGCGGAAGACCCTGGGGCTTGGCCGGATGCCATGACGGAGGCTATGTTTGTCCGCTTGGGTTGTGGTCTGTCGGTCTGGGGAGAGTCAGCAATTTGACCAGCTAGAATCAATGAGGATGGCTCCACGGCGTTTGCTTCGCAAAGCTAAGAGGTCCTTACTCAACCGGAAGCTTGTCCGTATGCTGTTAAACTGTTTCGGCGTATATATCCGAAAGATCAAGGGAGTTGGTAATCTGTAGCTTCCCAGATTGAAGTCCTATAGTATTCTGATGACTCCTATATTCATTGATAGACAGCAAGCTTCTCTTTGTGTACAAAAACAGTCAAGCGCATGCGCACCAGACAATAATCTCCTTGGGAAACTAGGGCGGTCAGTGATTAATTGCAGAAAATGTAGAGGCTCAGGCGGTGTGGGGTACAGGCGGAGAGGAGATTGGGGGGCACCGCCTGGCAGAAAAAAAAATATGACCACACAATTTGATCGTCGTGTGTACTTCGATAAGCCAGCCCAAAATACTCATTTTAAGTTTTTGGTTTATCTGAAGAATTACCAGCCATGCCAAAGGTATCGAGCTCCCGTGCCGCGGCAGCGGCACGCAGACACAACCCTCTTGCTGAAGATATTACTTCCGCGGGGCACCTTCGGACACAGAGCAGCAAGAAAGGCAAAGGCAAAGGCAAAGCCGACGAAAACGACGAGGATGGCGAAAATGGACAGCGCTTTGTCGATGCGAAGATGTCGCGCAAGATTCTACAGATTGGACAGGAATTGGCCGATGAAGATGCTGCCGAACAACTCAAGAACTCAGCACGGCCCCAGTCGAGTGCATTCGAATTCGATACCCGGTTCGAGGACGAGGAAGAGCCTTTCTCCGACGACGAGGGGAAGTTTGAGGCCGACGATTGGGTCGATGACGATGTCGAGCAAGTTGTAAGACTTCCGAAACCTTTAATAGTACTATAGCTTCTAACATCTTACTAGGAGGTCGATCCCAATGATCTAGATATGTTCAACAGATTCATGCCCCACGAGGAGGACCCTATATTTCACCCCAAGGATCCCAGCTCCGCTGGCCCCACTAATCTCGCCGATTTGATTCTCGAGAAGATTGCCGAGCACGAGGCAAAGCAGGCTGGCGAGGGTCCCTATGGTCAATACATCCAAGGTGGTGGTGTCCCCGAGGATGCAGTCCAGATTCCTGCCAAGGCCGTGGAAGTATATGAGAAGTATGTTTTGTGATCATTCCTTGTGAGGCCAAGCTAACTTGTTCTAGGGTTGGTATGATTCTTTCTCGCTACAAGTCTGGCCCGCTCCCCAAGCCCATCAAGATCCTTCCTTCTGTACCGAACTGGCAGACCCTTCTGGATATCACCCGCCCAGAGTCATGGACCGGTAACGCCGTCTACGCTGTAACCCGTATTTTCATTTCGTCCAAGCCTGCAGTTGCCCAGGAGTTTATCAACACTGTGCTTTTGGAGCGCGTGCGCGAAGAAATCCACGAAACCAAGAAATTGAACATCCACACCTACAATGCGCTGCGCAAGGCCCTGTACAAGCCCGCATGCTTCTTCAAGGGACTTCTGTTCCCGCTCGTGTCCACCGGCACTTGCACCCTGCGTGAAGCCCACATTGTCTCTTCTGTGATTGCCCGCGTCTCGGTTCCCGTGCTACACTCGGCCGCCGCCCTGCTCCGCATGTGTGATCTGGCCGCGGAACAGTCGTTGACTTCCATTGAAAGCACCGGTGCTGTCAACATGTTCATCCGCGTCTTCCTAGAGAAGAAGTACGCCCTGCCGTACAAGGTCATTGACGCGCTGGTCTTCCACTTCATGCGCTTCCGCGCCCTCGATCCTTCGGCCGATGCCATGAACGAGGTCGGTTCCAAGGCATACCGGCTGCCCGTTCTCTGGCACCAGTCCCTTCTGGTCTTTGCACAGCGTTATCGTAACGACATCACCGAGGACCAGCGTGAAGCGCTTCTCGATTTGCTTCTCGTCCGTGGACACAAGGACATTGGACCTGAAGTGCGACGTGAACTGCTTGCTGGCCGCGGACGTGGTGTGGTGGTCCCCGACCCAGATGCGCAGAATGCTCTCGATGCCGGCGACGACACGATGGATATGTCCATGTAGATACTTTACCCGGGCACATGTTCGCTTACGATATTGTCATGAGCACGTTTCTATGGGATGGCGTTTTTTTGTTTGAGGGACTGCATATAATTCCCCTGGTGTCGAAGGTTTCCAAAATGGGATGACAACACCGATCACTGAATTTAGTGTACGGAGTATTTAGAATATATCGTTATCTTTTCAGTTTGCAAATGGTCAGGTTCCACGGTTACCCCTATAACTGACTTCCGAGGCCAACCCTAAATAGTAACGGAGGGGCAGTGTATGCCCGTTTCAGCCCTCGACATACCTTGTAGACGTTCTGCCGTGTTCCAGATTGTTCCGTAGCATCCGCCTGCTGATTTCCGCCAATCTAGATGGCATTGGCCCCTTATCCATGGATTTACATAATCATAGAGTCACATTCTCAATCAGGGGGGACGGAGAATTAACGGGGCGGGGACAGCCTTGATCTGCGAAAGACCTGTGATTGGCGTGGGGATGGGGCATTCTCCGGCAATCCTGATCGCGTCTTCAGATTCAGGAGAGCGTATCCATAGGTCCACCCTAGATTGTTCGAGACTGTGTGATATGGGATCATTCGTACGGAGTATTGTGGGACAGACGTATCATGATTCAGATAGATCGAGTCGGAGGGACTGGATGTGTGTTGTATTACCCGACAGGAGATGAATCCGAAGTACATAATACGGAGTACATCAATATTACTCCGTAGCAAGTGTATGCAACCCAAATATAGAAGTGAGATAGACAGCATTGAAGTCACCAAGTGTACGGAGGCCCCGTCGGGTTCTCCATACGGAGTTCCGTAAACGCAATGTTTCAACACGGCACATCATGATTGGCTGTCGTCCGGGGCCGAACCATGGAATGCAGGGGGAAATGAACGTAATTTACGTGTCTCGTCACAGAAACTCCGCCCCTTTGGAGGTACTTGGGCGCACATGCGAAAATGTATGGTGTCGCTTGTACCTACATACGTGTGTTGGCCAGGTTCCAAGGTTCCCCCCCCCTTTGTTGCCATCGCCCCCAGCCCATCCCTTTCAGACCACGCTGGCCTCTACTTAAACCTCATCGCTCCCCTCCGTTTGCAGTTGAACAGCTGTCCTTTCCATTCTTTCCTCTCTCTTTGCTGACTCACCCTCTGACTCAACCCTATTCCCGGAGTCTGGTCTCCGGTGCCGATCGTGATAATAACGTGGCCTTTGTGATCTGAACTTCCTCTTTTCACCCAAGTCACTATACGTCTGTCTACTCTGTACTGCAATTATTATTCACGTCCGGCACCGGTTATCCATTTGACTCTGTCACCATGGCGGATACTATCAACCCAATGGATACCCTCCCAACCTCCCCATGTCCCGAGATGTACACAGTTTCTCCCGCGGATACATCATTAGACTCTCCGGAGCCGGAAGATGACATTAAGGAAGAAGATGATGAGAAGAAGCCAACAAAGAAGAGAAAGTCTTGGGGACAAGAACTCCCAACCCCCAAAACCAATCTCCCTCCCAGGTATGTTGTCCACCCCTGCGTAAATGTGAACCCAACTGACTCTTTAGAAAACGCGCCAAAACAGATGATGAGAAGGAGCAGCGTCGGATAGAACGGGTCCTTCGAAACCGTGCTGCTGCTCAAACATCTCGCGAGCGCAAGCGCCTCGAAATGGAGAAGCTGGAGACCGAAAAGATCCGCATGGAGCAACAGAACCAGTTCTTGATCCAGCGTCTATCGCAGATGGAGTCGGAGAACAACCGCTTGAGCCAACAAGTGGCTAAGCTCTCCGCCGAGGTCCGTGGATCTCGCAGCGTGACTCCCAAAGCCAGCTCCCCGGCCATCGAATCTCCTACCCTCACGCCTACCCTCTTCAAACAAGAAGGCGACGAACTCCCTATGGAACGGATTCCTTTCCCCACTCCATCCGTCACCGACTACTCCCCCACCTTCACACCTTCCACTCTGGCTGAGGCCTCCGACGTGACACAACATCCTGCAGCGGTGTTGTGTGACCTGCAGTGTCCGTCGCTGGCCTCGAAGGATCTGGAAGCGCCCTTCCGCTCTTCGACCTCTCCGAACCTCAAACTGCACATGATGTTGCAGCTCCTCTTTCTGACGATGACTTCCGCCGCCTGTTCCACGGTGATTCACCCGCTGAGCCAAATCCTTCTTTCCCTGAAGACGGGTTCGCCTTTGACGTTCTCGACGGCGGAGATCTATCAGCATTTCCCTTTGATTCTATGGTTGATTTCGACCCCGAGTCTGTCGTCCTCGAAGGTGTCCAACCGACCGGTCTTTCGGATGAGACTTCTCACCAGACTACTAGCTTGCAGCCCAGCCTTGGCGCGTCCGCTTCGAGATGCGACGGGCAGAGCATTGCAGCTAGCGGTTAGTGAGACTTTCTCCCGACAGACCTGGTCGGCTGGCGCCTCCGAGGCTCGACCGAGTTGGGAGTCGTTATTAACCATGGCCTGGGCAATCGATAGTCTCAGCCTGTCTAAACGGCAGCAGCGGGGAAACACAATGAAATTTAGTCGGCAACGCAGTAATGGAAAGATGCATCGAGGTACACGGAGTTTTCGGAGTTCCAGCGCGAGCAAAGCTCTTTCGTCTTTGCTCATGGGCAAACAGCGCTGAGGGTTCCATTTTTGGCCTGTATAATAGTTTTTATAATGCAAAATCGACTGGCTCATCTTGCAATCTTTCGAACGTAGATAGTAATTATCCTCAATCGGGAAAGTAGCCTTAATTTAATCAGTCTAGGAGGCTTGCGCTAAGAATACTCGACCTCCGACGCTAAGAATACACTGAATGCGGTCAGTGACGTTGCCACGCGCCCCCAAATCCATCTGCCTTCCACAACACCTATCCTCATCCTCTATATTATCTATAACCGACATCATGGTTCGCAAAGACCCTATCTTCGAAGCCCGCACAAATGTCAAGGTAAGTTGCCTCCTCTGTTCCCCTCACACCGTGCATGACCCCGCCCATGCATGAAACCAACTAATCTTCCCCAGCTACACTCCAACCGACTAAAGAAAGAAGCCGTCCGGGCCGAGGCGACCTTCAAATCCGAAAAGGCCAAAGCCGACAAGGCGATGAAAAACCGCGAGTTCCAGATCGCCCGCATCCACGCCGCCTCCGCCGTGCGCGAGAAGCGACGCCAAGTAACGCTCAAATCCGAAGCCGCACGCGCCGATGTCATCATCAATGAACTCAAGGCCGCCCAGAGCACGCGCGACACATCCCGCACGCTCGCTATGGCGTCGCGGGGCCTAGACGCCGCCTCGCGGAGCGTCAACCTCGAACACCTCGTCTCGCACGCTAACAACTTCCTCGCCCGGTCGGAGGACTTCAAGATCGCGAGTAGTGCGATCGAGGATGTCGCACAGGGTATATCGATGCAGGAATACGGTGCGGAGGGCGAGGCCGATGTGGATCGACTTATGGAACAGCTGGCTGATGATGCGGGTGTTGATATGCGCTTGAACCTCGAGGCGGATGCTGCGCCTAAGGAGGAGGTTAAGGAGCCTAAGCAGGTGGATGCCGAGGCCGAGGATGGTTTGGGTGCCAGGCTACGGGCTTTACGGGCTGCTAATTGAGCAAATCAGTTCTGCTTTCTTTTTCCTCCTGGGTACCTCCGGATTTACGGGACTGTCAATCCCCTATATAGATTTCCTCGCGATCTCTGGACTTTGCAACACTGACGATCCACGAAGTTACGCTTGTATTTTCTGCGCTGTTTGTATTCAACGAAGATTTTTTTTTTCATGCATGGGCTAGTCCGATTTTGTGTGCTTTCCATGCTAACCTTGGGACAAAAGTCCAAAAAAAGACCAGTCCGTGAGGCGAAAAGGCTAGGGTCCAGGGACTAGAGCGTAAACAGACTAGAACCTCCACTTCGCTCTGGCAATTGAGGAACATCGCCAATCACATCGGGGCATCTGCCTACTCTAAAGCAGGCAATTTCCACCCGAGGCTTTCAACCAGTATAGCTTAGGCGACAACAGCGCCCCCAAATGACCAGAAAATTCAGGGTCTTTCAGAGGCGCTATTAACGTTTTTTTTTTATTAAAGCCATGGATCCCTCGTTTGTGACTGTTTTCCCTGCAAAGCCCCAGGACCACTCAAGATGGCGCCTTCACACTCGTTTATTCTTTTCTTGTCATTCGTTTTGAGTTGCGTTCAGGCTGCCCCTTGGATTGTGACGGAGGTCTACGAGCAGGACGTTACTACAGATTACTATTCCGAGGTGGTCACTGAGGTCCATGAAATCACTCCAACTGCAACTTTGCCAGCTGAGGCCCTGTCCACCATTACCTCCACTGATACCATCTATGACTACACCGTTGTCGAAAAGCTGTATCCCACCGGCTATGGCACGGCGCTTGGTTTCGACGCCGGCTACGACACCGTGGATAGTGACGGAAACTATCACAGCACCATCTACCAGGTCAACCTGACATTCTCAGCCCCGACAGCCTGCTCCACCCAATGGACCATCACGACCGCTGCCGCCGTCACCCCGCCCTATGAGATCGCCGCCTTGCTACCCAGGGACAATGTAATAACCTCGACCTCAGTCGACAGCGCCCAGCCATTCCAGACCACCACCTACATCTACGAAATAGTATTCGTGGAACCCACCCAGATCCCCAGCCCAACCCTGAGCTCTCTGAGCTCCTACAATGCCCCTACCTCGCGATACATAGGTAGCAAATGCCAGTACACCGACAGCAGCGACTACAGCGGCAACTCCGGATACTACACCGGCCTGTCCAGCGGACCAGGAACCACCGGCTACAGCGGCGGATCATCTGGCTACTACGACTACGACTACGACGACTACAACTGGTTCACCAGCACATGGGGATCCGGCATCGGCATCTCCTACCTCGCAATCGTCCTGATCTGCGCACTGGGCTGGATCGGCATCGTCTTCATCTTGGGCATGATCGAGGCCTGGGTGCGCTTCCGTCGTCTCATGACGGGCTGGCAGACCCGCCGGGGCTTCCCTCTTTTCTGGTCTTTCATTCTGCTCCCGCTTTCCCTTTTCTGTCTGTTTTGTTTCCGGAAGGGCTACCGCGCCCGCAGCAAAGAGGATGCCGTGATCCTTAAGAAGAGGTGGGATGCTATGAGTTTCTGGACGAAGATGCGCTTGTTCTTCGCTTGGGGTTTCCGCTTCAAGTACCCGACTGTCTTGGGTCCGGCTCCTGCAACGGTCAAGGCGAGCAAGAGGCCTGATGAGTCGGGTCCGCGGTTGTTGGATGTTACTCCCCCCGGTACTAGTGCGCCGTCGCGAGCTGCGTCGACGGAAGTTGCGCCCGCTGCTGGTCCGGAGATGGCTCAGGCTCCAGCTCAGCCTCATGCTGCTCCGGAGGCTTCTGGTACTCTTCCGGGCCATGATGTGGAGGCTGGTCCCGTTCACTAGGCTTCATTTGGATGATATGTGATCGTTTGTTATGTTGATTCGGATCTATATGCACTGTCGTTTTAAGTCATGGAAATACCAACGGTCTTGTTTTCGAGCTTATATTTAGCTACTAATCTTTAATTGATACCACCCACTTGTTATGACATTCATACATAGCCATTGCAGAAATCAGGATATCATCTCGAGCCATAACTCGCCTAATGACCCAGTGAATATCGATAAATGTCACTATAGATATACATATAATTGAATTGGGAAAGACATAACGTTGTAGACATATATAGTCACCGTTGTACACTACGCAGTGAGCAGCTAAAAGCGAAAATGATTCGCACCAAATTAAAAAGATCAATTGATCCGATCAATGTGCTCTTCCATCAACAAATTCCAAAAAGAAAAGAGCAAAAAAGAAATCTCAGGTTTGGTTTTAGGAATAGCCGAACGCGGGGGTCGAACCCGCAGCCTTAAGATTAAGAGTCTTACGCTCTACCGATTGAGCTAGCCCGGCCGGGCTGTTAGAATAGGCAGCCCTATTACGCTACATGAGCCAAAACCATTGATCGCTAATTGTCCCCGACTTCCCGCATCTCCCTTAGTGTCCATGACTTCAGTCAAAACACTTATTCATGGAGCTCGAGTCGGCAGGTCCAACCTCTAGCCAACATGGAAAACAAGCCGCATGCTTAAACTGCCGACGGAGCAAGATCCGCTGCAACCGCCAGGCAGGCGAGTCCAGCTGCGAGAAATGTAAGCAAACCAATGCGGAGTGTATTGTGCCCAACCATCATCTGGGTCGACAAAAGGGGGTAAAAAAGTGAGTCGAGTCACGTAAGGTTGTGGAGTATAATAAAATACTGACTGGAGCTTAGCAAACGAAAAGGCCTGGAGAAAGCGATACATCAGATCGAACAGGCAATTAAGCGGCCGAAGGTCGACTCTGCTAGTGACGATGAGGCCCAAAGAGCCATTTCGGTCCTCCAGGATCTCCTTGGTCAAGCCCGGGGCCAGTTAGTGCAAAATGAGCATGAGCATGAGCGTCGCTTCTCAGAGACATCAGATCACCCGCGCATGACGTCTCCGCGTGATATTCAAGCGGAGGATGGTCTTACTCTGGATGATGCGGAAAATCCTCTGCAGCTGCTTGCTAGAGCTTCAAATCTTCAGATTTCGCCAGTTGGGACGCGGCGTGCGCCAGTATCTCCACTGCCGTTGTCAGAGGGCCCGTCATTATATCAGAACACTTCCCAGGGAGAACAGGCCGCCAAATCCTTTTTTGTTCCCGCGGGAGCGAATCTAGATGTTGGACCTGATATGGATCCTATTGGGTTGGGCTTGGTCACATTTGATGAGTCGGAGTCCTTATTCTCGTTGTAAGTAGTCTGGTCTTTATTGTTAAACATATCTAAATGATAACTGACAAACCAAGCTTCTATCAACATCTCGCACATACTCGATGGGGCCTCGATCCCTTGATACATACCCCATCCTTTGTGCGGTCCCAGTCGGCTTTTCTATTTACTTCGATAATGGCAGGCGCAGCCCTATTTTTGCCGTCTGCGTCTGCTTTATCTAAGAGGTTATCAAGGCATTGCAAATGGCTTGCGAAGCGAGTGATCACACAACGCTATAAATCTGTTGAGATTGTTCTGGCTTTCATGGTGAACGTTCCATGGATGTCTCCAGGCGATAGACTAGGAGACGATGATACTTGCTCCTATATTGCCATGGCCCTCACTGTTGCTCTTGACTTATCTTTGAACAAGATTATCTCGCCATCTTCAAGCTTTGACCAAGAACTTATGAATCGCCTGGCGCGAGCAGAGTGCATCGACGCTAAGAGGGCTTTACACATGGATGGATTTCATGATATTGACCCGTCCTCGGAATGGGGCGTTAGGCTGTTGCGAAGACGGGAAAGAGCTTGGATTGCGTTGTATGTCGTTGAGAGAGGGTACGTTTTCCCCTAGTGGTGCATTTGAGTCTGACACTAACTTGTTCAGTGTTTGTCTCGCGCGTGGCCGAAGCTATACGGTCCCTTCAACAACGCTCATCGAAAACTGCGATCGTTGGCACCTTTCCAACATTGCAGACCCGCGTGACGGTCCTATGAGTTCCGTGGCAGTTCTTCGAAGGGACCTTGTAGGTGCCCTCCCGAGTCTCAAAATCCATCAGAGATGCCCGTATCAGGCTATTAATTCCATTCTAACGATTTCAGGACGGACTATTTCAGAATGTTAAATCAAGCTGTGATAATTATCGCATCGTTGATACCGGCTCGGAGGCTGCTCAGTCGTATGATATTATGTCTTGATGAATATCATTTATATACTGACCATATCACAGGATCAAGAAAACCATTCAAACTTTCTACGAGCGGTGGTATGCAACATGGGCCTTGTCAATTGGGGAAGGAGACAGTAAGCATATACCAGACATTGATTGACTCATTATTAACCATTCAAGCACGCTCTCTACCCCCCTACGTCGAGATTCTTGTCACGCATACTCAATTATCCACATACGGTGGTGTCATCAACCACCGAACAGCTCCAATCGAAGTGAAACGTTTCTTCCGAGCCGCCGGTCTATCATCTGCACTGAACGTCCTACGAGCAGCCATCCAGGGCGAATCTCGCCTGAAATCAATGCCAAACAACACCGTCATAATGATCTCCTTCGCCGCCTGCTCCGCCCTCAGTCTCAGCGTAACACCCGGCGACAGCAAATCCAGTCTAGCACCAAGCGTCCGAAACCTCATCGAAGAGACAGCCGGCGTCCTAGAGAGAATCGGCGCAACACCAAGTCACCGAAGCGGCGCCTCCGTGCTGTACGGGAGGTTCTTGCGTGAGTTGATCCGGCGCGCACCAGCCTTCCCTCTCCAATCCCGAGGAAATCTAGGTGAAGTCCATCCATCCGAGGCATTTCAGTCTGCATGTCTGGATGATCGTCCGCTGCCAGTGGCAATACCTGAGGACCTCTGGTTCGAGCCTTTGCAATTCTCTGCTATGTCTGATGATCAGATCGTCGATGCAGTCAATCGGGCGGGCACGGCGTTTGGTGCGTCGATCCCGGATGTGCCTCTTGATGATATGCTTAATTGGGATTGGCTCGACTCTGCCAATGCGGATTTCAATCTTCAGTAGTTTCTCTTGCCTTGATCTGATCAGACATTGGTTTTCTGAACTTATTCTTATTATCGGCTTCAATATATATCTTGATACCCTTTCGTTTAGCATATCATCCTTGAGGGCCATTTTGGCCAACATCATCGTCCTCTCTCACAAGTATGAAGGAGTCACATCTTCAACCATACGATTTTTTATACACAATCCCTACTGTGATCAATTGGCATAAACATTACAGTTGAAACGCGCAAACCTCACAAACGAATCAAAAGAGCTTAAGTCTAAACCTGAGAGGCCTGAGGAAGGCCATGTCGCGCCCATCTCTACAATGGTTTCCAATGCGGGTTCTTTGACAGAGCAGAGTAATGTCGGCAACGTGCGGGTATTTAGGGGAAGCTGAGGCTGTTCAAGAAGTAGTGGGCCGATTAAGGGTCTGTTGATATTGATGTTTAGTGGATACCCATGACGTCATAGATAATACACACGGGGAACCTTCGGAGGCGCTCGGCATCTAGAAGTAGCCCCGACCAATGCCGTCGATGATATAACAACGCGATGATTTCATTTTTGCCTTCTTTCTTCTTTCTTTAGATCTAAACAATCACAAGCTATGTCGGCTCTTAGGATATCTACTACTTTGTCGCGTAAAGCGCTCACTGCGTGTCGACCGCGACTGTTCATTGGTGTCCGCGCCAGCGTGCGCCCCCTGCAGCCATTCAGTACCAGCACCACTAGATACTCCCTAACCACACCATCAGCAACTCTCGCACCTAAGATCGATCGCAGCCGCTCAAAGCTATACAAAGATGCCGATGCCGCCGTTGCCGATATCAAGAGTGGATCGACGATCCTTAGCTCTGGGTTCGGTCTTTGCGGAGTCGCCGGTATGTGGATGAATAAATAACCCGCGTGAGAACTACGAAGCTGATATGCAGTGTAGAAACCATCATCAATGCTATGCACCGTCGGGGCGCTGATCAATTGCACTCCCTGACGGCCATTTCTAACAATGCCGGTTCCGCGGCGGGAGGCCTTTCGATACTCTCGAAGAATGGCCAGATCAACCGTCTGATCCTTTCATACCTCGGGAACAATAAGGCGTTGGAGAAGAAGTACTTGACGGGACACACGGCTATTGAGCTCTGTCCACAGGGTACTTTGGCTGAACGTCTTCGTGCTGGGGGTGCTGGCATTCCGGCTTTCTATACCCCGACTGGAGCCCGTATGTATAGCTTCTCTTATGTTTCTTGATATTCGTCGCTGATAAGAGAAGACACTTTTATTCAGGAGGGAAAAATCCCCGTTCGCATGGATGAGTCTGGTAAAGTTCTGGAGTCTGGCAAGGCGCGCGAGACCCGAGAGTTCAACGGCAAGACATATCTCATGGAAGAAGCCTTGACCGGAGATGTAGCTATTCTCAGAGCCTGGAAGGTGGACGAGGCTGGTAACTGCGTGTTCCGGTAAGTTTATGTACCAGTCTGTGTCCTAGAATTGGATACTAACATTGATTAGATATACTACCAAAGCATTTGGCCCTATCATGGCCAAAGCCGCAACATTGACTATTGTGGAGGCCGAGAACATCGTCCCAGTTGGCGCTATTGATGCTAATGATGTGGACCTGCCGGGTATCTACGTGGATCGGATCGTTCCTGCCACGGACGACAAGCACATTGAAAACAAGAAGTTGCGCCAGGAGCCCTCTGTAGCTGGGCCTACTAAAAGTGCGGCTCAGCTTCAGAGAGAACTGATTGCTCGTCGGGCGGCTAAGGAGCTTAAACCGGGATTCTACGTGAATCTGGGCGTTGGTATTCCCACGTTGGCACCATCGTTCTTGCCAAAGGACGTGAAGGTCTGGATCCAGTCGGAGAATGGTATCTTGGGAATGGTAAGTTTCTACGTCTTTTTTACGTAGGCCATTCTAACAATATTCAGGGTGATTATCCCACGGAGGAAACACTGGATCCGTAAGTTGTTCCCAGATGTGATGATCTGAACTTTCCCTAACTCAGACCAGCGATATTATCAATGCCGGAAAAGAGACCGTTACCTTGGTTCCTGGAGCCGCCACATTCGACAGCGCCGAGTCCTTCGGCATGATTCGCGGAGGCCATGTAGATGTGTCTATTCTTGGTGCGCTGCAAGTGAGTGCCAATGGCGACCTGGCCAACTATATGATTCCCGGCAAGATATTCAAGGGTATGGGAGGAGCAATGGATTTGATCTCGAACCCGGACAAGACCAAGATCGTGGTTGCCACGAGCCATGTCGCTAAAGATGGAACGTCTAAGATTGTACAAAAGTGCACTCTGCCGTTGACTGGTGCCAAGGTTGTTAGCACCATCATTACAAACCTGGTAAGTGCGACGACCCTGATTGATTGCCAACCAAAACTGACAAAAGTACAGTGTGTCTTCCAGGTGAACCGGGCCACCGGAGAACTCACACTGACGGAGCTTGCTCCGGGTGTTGAGGTGGAAGAAGTACAAAGCAAGACGGATGCCAAGTTCACCGTTGCCGATACACTTGAGATCATGGAATAAAGTCACTCCGACACCGAGCATGATATGAGACAAAGAGCGTTCTTTTCTCGTGTCTCCTATAAATAGCCTGTACATCCTTTATTTATTCCTTCGCTTAATTTCGAAGTTATACAATCCCACCATAATTAGGCAGACGTATTTTGGGGTGGACCCGATAAGCCTCATAAAATAAGCTTAGCCGGTGCCCAGCCCTTGGAAAAAGCTTGTCCTTTTTCTTTCCCTCCCAACATGGCCTTTGATCCATCTGCTCTAGAGCCTATTCCGGAGCATGAAGCATTTATCTTAGTCGATCTCGAAGTGAGAAATACATCGCCCTACATGAAGCCCAGACGACCCTCTTTCTCGATTTTGAAATGCTCGCACCCAGAATGCATTGCATATCCACGCTCTAAGAGAGCCATTTTCTGTCGCGTAGTGCAGCGACCTCTCTGGGCACTGATTTTCGTCTTGTGCGTACCTGCTGCCCAAGTCTACACCCCGTCGTGATTTGTTGGCCGTTGGATTGTGTTCCCCACACCTGACTCGTTGTGCTTGTTGGTGCTAACAATGTCTCACTGCAGCGGTATCATCAATCTCTTCATCGTTGCATGGCAATGGGTTTTTTATCTCTTTCGACATGACACCTCGTTGGCTATTTTCCCCGGGGAACGCCACTCAAGGTTTTCCGACTGGTCTACCAACGGTGTCATCCCTGTACCATGCCACTCGCACAACGATTACTGGCGCCACATTCCCCTACGCTCAGCACTTCGTGCAGGCTGTATCAGCGTCGAGGCTGACGTCTGGCCATGGGGAAATGACATTCTAGTCGGCCATTCACGTTCCACAGTCCACCGGGGCACATTGCAGAGCCTCTATCTTGACCCGCTGCTGAAGATACTCGACACACACAATGCACCGCCTTCCCGAAGCTGGCCGCACGTCATGAATCAGGAAATAGTCGGGGTGTTTCCTAATGACCCAAAGCAGACTGTGACCTTGCTGGTTGATTGCAAAACCGATGGTGATCGCACCTTGCCGCTTCTTGTTGAGCAGCTGAACCCGTTTCGTGAAAAGGGCTATCTGACTCACTTCAATGGCTCTGATATCGTATACGGCCCAGTTACTATCGTTGCCAGTGGAGATGTGCCTTTTCACCTACTGTTGGAGAACACAACCTACCGCGACGTCTTCTTTGATGCACCTCTTGGCAACTTGACCTTTCCCACCGAGATAACGGCAAACGACAACAAACCAATGGACTCTACCTATAACCCATCCAACAGCTATTATGCATCAGCAGACTTCCGCAAGGTTATCGGGCCTCTTTCTCTTAGTCGTCTGTCAGATATCCAGCTTGCTATTCTTCGGAGCCAAGTATTTGAAGCTCACAAGTTGGGACTGAAGGTGCGGTACTGGGGAACTCCCACCTGGCCCATTGGACTGCGGAATCATGTTTGGAATGTACTTGTGCATGAGGGTGTGGACGTGTTAAATACAGATGATTTGCGTGGTGCAACTAAGCAGGACTGGAAGCCTCATCACTGGTGGCAGTGGTGGGTATGAGATGATTTATGCAGAATAATGCGTTGAATTCTAAAAATTAAGCTTGCTACAATTACCCAGAACCAGAATCAGTATATTGTAGAGCACATCAATATGTCTATAGACAACATTGCCATCATAGAACCATCATGAACTCCGGGTTACGATCATCATTATACCCTGCGTATTGATCATACTTACCCTGCCTTTTGTCTCGATTGATCTTTGCACAGTAGAGCACATTAAACAGGATCCTATGTAAATCAGCGATCGCCCTTGACCCAATAATGATAAATACACCCACATAAACCATGCAAACACCAACAAACCAAGGATAATGGTATGTCCACGGTGGAAGAGGGGTCCATCTCTAGATGGATAGTTGAAAGCTATAGTGATGTCAGTGATCTAGAAATAAATTCAGTGTGGGCAACTTACTCGAAACGAATCCTCCAGCATTTGCAATTGCCAGCTGCAGCGCCGATGTAGTGGCTCTTTTGTAATGTCCCGCAGAGTTGTTCGACAACCACACCAAGATGCACGGCACACTAGCGTATTGGCCAGTTGCCATGAGGAAGGTCATGCCGTATTGAACGCGAGGGGAGTTAATGTTGGCGATGGCTGCATATCCAATGATGGCGATTGGGAGGGTGAAGAGCATCACCACGCCTCGCAGACGGAGACGATCAGAGATGATGGCGACAACGACTGAAAAACTGTGTGAGTATTTGATGAAATTCAAAGGTGCTCTGTAGACAAACCTGTAATTACGGCTGCGACAGCATAAGGTATCACAGACCACAACTGAACCTCGTTGGCATCTTTGGCAAAACCGAGGTTTTTGATAATTGTTGGCAGCTAAAACCGTCAGTGCTTGAGGCCGATGTAAAAATAGGGAAGTCATACAAACAAGCCAAAGGAGTATAGCCCAGAGAGAATGGCAAAGTACGCCGAGGCAGAGAGCCACACTTGTAGATCTAGCACACCTCGACGGACTTCGGACCATCTGAACGATTCTGCCTCCGAGGATCTGTTTAGGTTAGCCAAGCTTTCCCATCCAACGGGTCAGAAAAGCTTACCCTTCTAGTGACCCGGGATTATCAAGCATTAGCCTTTTACCTCCGAATTCCTTTTCCTCTGCAGTTAAAAAAGATGCAGATTCCAAGCTATTTGGAAGAACGAAGAAACTCGACACCCCGGAGACAAACGTCTAATCAACAGTCAGACAGCATTTTGTTTTTGATAGCAATTACCTTCACATACCAAAAGTCCCTCGATAATCAAAATCCAGCGCCAACCTTGTATGCCTCCTCGAGGACCGATTTCGGCTAGTCCACGAGCGAGAAGTCCTAGTTCGTTACTATCGCCGAAAACCAGTGAGATTGATGAATATTTACCTCCAAATGCGCCCGACAGGGAAGCAGCTGTGTAGAACAAGCCGATCCGCAGAGCCAAATCGCCTCGTCGATAGAAAGAAGATAGATATAAAACCTTTCCTTTTGTTAGTTAACTATGTCAATTTCATTCAACATTGGAAACATACCATGCCAGGGAGAAGACCTCCCTCCGCGATACCCAGCAAAGCCCGAACGACGACAAAACCAGCAAAATTCTGTACAAATCCTAGGCACATGGTAATGATACCCCAAATAGCCGTCAGGAACGGCAGCCAAATCTTCGGCGATGCTTTTTTGAGTACTAGATTACTCGGCAGTTCGCTTTATATCAATTAGCCTCTGACGTGGGGGTCCAACAGAACACAACGCACCTGCAAATATAGGTGAGATAGAACACAGCCAGGCCGATATCATACTGATGGTCTGTGATAGAAAGGTCCGCTTCCAAGCCGAGAATCTTCGCATTACCGACATTGGTCCTGTCTAAAAATGACATGAGGAAAAGCAGGGCTAGGATAGGAAGAATACTGGAAAATTTAGCAAGCGCATGGTAATTGTAATGCTTGAACTGACTGTATATCCAACTTCCACAATACCCTCCGTGTCAACTTCTGTTGATGTTCAAGGTCGTAATGTCGGTCGAGGGGACCTGACTTCGCCTCTTCCAGCTCTGATACTGTGGACTTGGGTTGGTCCATGGCGACTTGGATTGTTGCTTGGAGTACGAATGATATTATTCTCCTGTACTGTCCGCAGCGTAGGATGGGGAGAAAATAGGAAAATAATGGAAAGAAATAGCCCAGAAACAGTCAGAGAGAGACACTTCGGTGGGCATTTCTGAGTCCGACCTCCTCACCAGCCCGCAGATCCTCACCAATGACAGAGCTTCCATAAGATCGCGTCTGGATGTTTTGTTTCCCCGTATTCCCCGGATTTCGACGTGTTCCCCACCTGTAATATTACCGAAATGTTTAAGTAATTTACTGTCTTATTACCACCCTCCCGGTATTTATCGGTGCTCACTTCTGGGTTCCGTTCCCGAAGCTCCCGAGGTCGGGAACACAATTGGTCTTTAGCAAATCCTGTATTTAATGGCAAGACATCCACATTCAGAGCACAAGAGCTCATCATCCGAAATGTCTAAACTTTCACCTAGCCTCAAGGCATTAATCAAGGCCCCTGCTGCCCGGCCATCCACCATTCCTGCGCCAGCAAACATAACCTCGGTCTACCAAAAGATCCAACAGACCGCACAATCCAAACAGCTCTCGCAGCCATCATGGGTCGCACTATCAGTGAGTCGATTCATTCAATTAAGATTGAACGCAATCTAACAAATGCCAGACTGCAGCAACGATAACCATGAACTCCCCTGAGTCCCTCGCAGCCCTCTACGAACTAGCCAGCACCAACCCGAACAAGCAAGTCGAGACGGCCGAGCTCATGCGCGAGGTCGGTCTAAAATGCATTAGTTTCAACGGTATCCCACGCACCATAAACTGCCTCAACGCCTTGAAAGCCAGCCTTCCAGATTCAGTCACCAGCCAGCTCTCCCGCACCCCCACCCGCATCCCCACCCCGGAGAATATCACCGCGATCAGCGAGCGCGGCCTTGCGCTCTGGAATTCCATCTATCGGCCATTCGAGAAGAAGCTATTCAATAAACTAGCTGACTCACACCCCGATCTGCCGGTGCACATCCTGTACAACAACTACGGCGCCCTGTTGTCTGATCCTGAGCGTAGCACTGGCGCGTCCGTTGGGCGGATCCTGACGTCTGTTGTTGCTGTCTCGTGCTTGCGCGCTCAGTCTGGCGTTGCACCCCAAGTCACCTCGCACTTGTTTGGGTTGCGCAAGGCGATCGAGGATGGCTCGTGGGCGACTGATGTCGAGGGGGAAGAGGCTGCGCGCTGGTTGGCTAGCGATGAGGGGAATACGTGGATTTTGGATAGTGTCGATGCCATCGTTGATGCTATTAGCCAGGGCGCTGGATCGAACTTTGCTCCTGGAAGCGCGAAGCTGTAAATCTATAGAGGCTTTATATCACGTAACTTCAATAATATGAGTTCAAAGTTGAAGAGCCAAGGCCTCTCTGTGTGGAGTATGGAGAGAATTCGTCCGTGCGGGCGAGGCGACCATACACTGCGCTCGTTCTTTTCGGGCAGGAAATTGATTCGAGGTAAAGCTGCATGTCTGTCTGACGAGAACCCGTGGGTGTTCAGCACTTGGCAAATAAACTGTAAGTATTAGTTGGGAAAACCCCACGCAGGTGTTCGTCTTAATTCCGTGCTCAGCAGAATTCCTGCGCCAAGACGCAGTGAGCTGGCCTTCCAACCACACTTGCAGACCATTCCACCAATTGCAGTGATATTTCCGTGACTGCGCAGCACAAGCTGCATAACTGAGTCAGAAGATACGATTATCACGAATTCGATTTCGTTATCACATATACTAGAAGACCGTTTTGACCCGCTCGTGCATACCCTACGTGTTTGTGGCGCGAAATAAGTGATGCTGTCACTGACACTTAAACCCATCATGTCAGTTCAATTTGTTGCCGGGCAATGGCGCCTGCGATTCGCGAGGTCACCCAGACAGTAATCGAAGCAGACACCACTTTCGTGTCAGTCATTACTCTGGGGAACACCAAGTCATGGCCAACGTCGAACCTGGTGACATTGACGGTGACCACTCCATTCACGACTGTCATCGAGGTGGTCAATATAGCAGCAACTCCTGCGCCCGAGCAAATAAACTCGACCAAAAGCAATGGACTGTCAGATGAAAGCAAAGGTGCAATAGCGGGGTCTATCCTCGGCGCTACAGTCTTTCTACTGCTCTTATACTATCTTTATCTATGTCGTTTGCAGTCCCGGGCATCGACAAAGCGAACCGCCAAAGTTCTACCTGATACGGAAGACCCTACACCTCCAGATCCTCCTACTGACGATCAACTGTCGAAGAAAAAGAAGACGGTTACTATATCGTCTGATCTTCCTCGATACTCAGGCTCGAAAAATACCAAGTTGAACATCTCACCTCTTGTGAGAATCTCAACAGAAATGAACTTGAAGACTGGGTTCGAGACAAGAGAAGGAAGATTAGGCCGAAGGGTTCGCTTCATGATTCGAGAACGGGAGAAACAGAAACCAAGGAAGAAGCGCCGGAGATCTCACCGGCGTCGAAGCAAACGCAAAGGAACGAAGACAGATGATACGAAGTGAAGGGAGGGAGAACATAGTCTTGTGTACATAATTTATACTAGTATTATGGAGTGTTTCCTGGAAGATAAGCTTCAACCATTCAGCCAGTCAACGTCTCGGGAATCAGCACTTCGGCGAGTGGAGTTTCGGCGATCTCTCGGAGACCTGCCCTCTTCGGACACCCGAACGCATTCGGCAACAGGGCCGTCGGACGGGTCGTAAGTTGTGATCAATAATTTAACACTTGACTCAATTCTCTATAAACCTCGGCTATTACTATATTAGGCAATTTTCTAGAAACAAAATATTTGATCGGTCATCTTCCCCACCACCCCTGGCTTTGTAAAGCCCAACGCAACCAAATTCTTCTTAGTGGCATTGACCATTCCGGGCGGCCCACATAGCATCACCTTAGTGTCCGGCGAAGGCGCAGGGAGCTGCTTTGCCAGAACTGCCTGGTCCACGTATCCCGATCCATAGGTCCAGCCCTCGGGCGCAGAGTCTAGCATATACCACAGCTTGAAGTTCTTCGGGTATTGGCGCGCGAAGCGTTCAAGCTCTTCGCGCAAGAGAATGTCAGACTCGCTGCGGTTCGCATAAACCAGACTAACCTCCGTCGTGTCGGTGTCATTCTCGCAAATCGCCCGGATAAGCTGGAACATGGGTGTGATGCCTGTGCCGCCGGCCACCATGCCGATCTTGCGACAAAGACCTTGCGTATAACGCATAGAGCCCTTGGGCCCGCGGAATTCGACTTCTTCGCCGACAGTCAAGCCGGCCAGATACTTCCCGCTCAATAAACCGTCGGGATAGCATTTGATCACGAGTTCAATGCGGCCCCGGTCGAGGTTGTTAGAGGTAGGGGTGTATGAGCGAGTAATACTCGCTCCGTCGACAACGGCTCTGATGGAGACGTGTTGGCCAATGGGTAGACCCAAAATACCTGTGGCGGTTGGCAGGGCAAAGACGAAACGGTAGACATTCGTTGCTAGTTCGGTCTTTTCAACGAGATGCAGGCGTTGATAATGTTGCGGGTCGAGGAAGCCGCGTGCCAGGTGCGGATCGACACGAAGCACCTTCTTTGACTTCTTATGAGGTGGGAACCGCATGAACCCGGAGTCGATCTTGGTGAATCTGCTGGCCTGTCGCGCTACCATTACACCCAGGACTGTGGAGATAGCAGAAGCGGCCAAGAAGCCGTTGATGAAGCCCCCGTGAGGTAGTCGTAGGTTCTTCAGTGGGTGAGGGATCAAGTGGGAGATGGCTCCCAGGCTCTTTGTGAGATTGTTTCTTTGGCTGATGAGGTAAAAGACTGGGGCCAGTCCACCCAAAGTGAAAGCGATCGTTTTGATGGTCGACGATGAGGAATTGGCCACTTCAGGTGCTTTTTGGGAGACCACACGCACTGTCTTAGGCTGGACGTACTGATGAGCATCCTTCAAAGTGCCCACCAGGAAGGGCTGCATGATCTCGCGGGCGTCTTCAGAATGCCCAACATCCTCATAGTCTGCTGTGGCATCAGTACCGGCTACCTCGAGGAGAACCTCTGGACCACCTGGGTGATCATGCAGATATTTTGTGAGGTCAAAGACTGTCGTAATGTTAGCACCGTCTTTTTGATTATTTAAGGGGAAGTTACCTTGTCCGTGGATCACCATCCAGGTATCACCCTTGGTGTTATGTGCTGCCACATCTTTCAATGTATACTCTGGCAGCTCGACCTTGAGCTCTTTTGTTTCTGGAACGGACATTGTGAATGAATGATTTTGCAAAAACCAAAAAGGACGGAGTCTTAATTTAATATCACGACGAGGACTCCGTACTGGAACATGGAATTATCACAATAGCCCACTTAGCACTTCCGGTATTTGCATAAAACGAGCCTACCAGCAAGGAGGGATTGAAAATGCCTCGGCATCTTGAAGAAAAATAATTAAAAAAAACCTCTATCTTGACGGTGGGGCCGTTTGAGACGGCACATTTCGCGCCAGTGCCATCGGCACAGCGAGTCCGAAATAACGTCCGCGCTATGTTGTATTCTCCTATTTTTGCAATCTGATGATACTGTGGATCCTAATTTGAGAAATATTTTGAACCGAGGCTCGCAGAGATATGCATCTGCTTCATTATGACATGAAAATGAGTCGGGATGCGCTTTCATGAATAGTGGAGTCAACTATGCAGTTTCAAATGGCCCAGATAATAAGATCCTTATAAATGTGAGGAGGGCCCTTCCAGAGAGAAAGAACACGTTATTATTCTCATTCCCATTTCACGATGGTTGCCAAAAATTTCCACTTGTTGGGCGAGGCTATCACCTCAGCTCGCCCAATCGAGGTAGAGACAACAGTCGACTACGAAGAACTTCAGCACCTTATTGCTGGTCAATTTGCCATCGTTGAGCCAAGTGGTAAGCATTTATCGCGTCGCCTCTGGTATCATCCTAACTCTCAAGTTAGGCATCGGATTTCAGTCAGAGGATTCGATCTTGTCCACCCCCTCTGAGATCCTTACCAACGAAGGGCCCATCGCCATCTCAATAGATGGTAAGGCAGTACGGGAGATTCCCGGTCCCAAGGGACTGCCATTCGTGGGAAACTTCTTCGAGATTTACCCCGATCACTTGGGAAACCACCAGCGTCTATTCGAACAATATGGACCTATCATTCAAACCACCAACATGGGCCGGACAGTCTACCACACCAATGACCCCGCGCTATCCGCAATTGTTTTTGCAGAATCTGATTTCTTCACCAAAAAAATCAACGAGGCACACCCTTTGTACCCGATCAAGAACCAACAGGCCGGTGTGTTTTTGGGTGACACCGATACACCTGAATGGCGTGCAGCACACAAGTTCCTCCCGCCAGCCCTGGGTCCGAAAGCAGTGCGTCACTACGCTCCCACTATGCAAGCAACCGTCGAGGACTCATTCAATGTGTTCGACGAGCTAGACGAGCGCGGCGAGGCTTGGAACGTCTACCCATATATGCTCAAGCTCGGTGCGCAGGCCGTGGGAAAGCTGGTTCTCGGTATGGACTTCAAGCATTTCTCTGCCGTGGATGCACCACCCCACGAACTGGTCTACCGAATTGCTGAGTCTTTGGAGCTGAACAAGAAGGTGACCGCCCGTGGTGATTGGTACGCCAAGTTGCCTTTCGGTGACCCGCAACGTCTACGGGACGCTCGCTATCGTATTATTGAGATGGTCAACGAGTCTATTCAAAATGCCTCTCGTAATGGCATCGAAGATCTCCCGTTGCAGGATGCTGCATTGCAGGCCTCCAACATGATTGGTAAGTTGAATGACTAGAAGTTGCAAGGCTTGAGCTAACGCCTAGGCAGATTATATTATTCGCGCAACCGATAACAAGGGCGAGAAATTGCCTAAGACCAGTCTGATGGAGGCCCTAGTGGTAGCCACGGGCGCTGGTTTCACAACTACCAGCTCATTGCTATCGTGGCTGCTTTATTCGGTAGTCAGCTATCCCGGCATGCAGGAGAGACTCCTACAGGAATTGATTGACAACGACATCGACGCCGATACCCCAATGACCGCAGATCTGACGGACCGTCTGGCATTCTTGGACAAGTTCATCAAAGAAACCCAGCGCCGTCATAACCCCTCATACCAGCCTGCGCGCACAGCCAAAGTCGACATGATTCTCCCAGGCGGATACAAGCTCTCCGAAGAATCCATCATCATCCCCGCCCTTCACCACATACACAACAATCCAGCAGTCTGGTCTAACCCAGCACGGTTTGACCCGGATCGTTGGGATACAGCGGAGGTCAAGAACCGTCATAAGACTGCGTATATCCCCTTCGCTGCCGGACCGCGCATGTGCATTGGGTTCAACTTTGCCTTACAGGAAGTCAAAGTGTTCTTGCCCAAGTTGTTATACCGGTACAAGTTCACGAAAGAGAATGATGGGGCAGTCGAGTATGATCCCATGTTCCAGTTGATCCGTCCTACCAACTTGTATGTGCGGGCGGAACGACGAGTGAAATGGCCTCCCAAGACTGAGCAGTGATTGAGAATATCCTTTGTACATAATAATTTTGTTTATATTCAAAAGAGTTAATATATTTCTTCAGCCCTTTTAGGCTCTCTCTCCTAAGAAAGCTTAGCTCCGGCAGGAACGCCGAGTCCGAGATTCGGAGTTAAAACGTGGTTGTTTCAACTTTCTTCCTTCAACCATCAAACAATGGAGAATCAATCGCGACCGGCGCGTTACATGGGCCATGTCCTCGAAGAGCTGGGCCTAACCACTATGTGGCGGTCATCGCTCGACGTGAAGCTTCTCTGCGCCCAACGCTTCGTGCGCCTCTTCGCGTATGGCGGCTCGACCTTGATTCTGGCATCGTATCTGTCGGCCATGGGAATTTCGGATGATCGCATTGGCTTGTTTATGACGCTCACGCTGATCGGAGATGTTGTGATTAGCTTCTTCCTCACTCTGTATGCTGATGCTATGGGTCGCAAGGCGGTGTTGTCGCTCGGATCAATTCTCATGGCTGGTAGCGGAGTCATTTTCGCGCTGTTCGGGAATTTCTGGGTTCTACTGGCCGCTGCAGTCTTGGGTGTCATTAGTCCAAGGTTCGACCCTTTTTTCTCTTTCTATTTTTATCTCAGCTAATTTCTTAGTGGAAATGAAATCGGTCCGTTCCGCGCCGTGGAGGAATCCACTTTGGCTCATCTCACACCTCATGAGCTTTTGAGTGATGTCTTTGCTTGGTATTCCTTGATTGGAACTGCTGGCTCGGCCATGGGAATGCTTGTCTGTGGTTGGATCATCAATTCTCTGGAGTCAATCCACGGATGGGAATTCATTCCCGCCTGTCGCATCATTTTCTTCGTCTATGCCGGCGTTGGCGTCGTTAAGTTAATCTTCACTTTGGGCTTAAGTGAAAAGGTCGAGGTCCAGAAAGAAGAGCCGCAGGAGCAGATCTCTGAAACCCAACCGCTGCTGGTAGAAGCAGTCGGGCGGGATATCGAGCCGGCCACGAGGAAGAAGTGGCTGTTCCCGTCTATCGAGAAGGACCTGTGGTCGCTGGTTATCCGTCTCTTCATCCTATTTGGAGTGGACTCGTTCGCATCTGGATTAGCTTCACTGTGAGTGTAATCCCAACTCTTGTCGGCTACGATGCTAATTTCTCAGCTCCTGGATGACCTACTTCTTCAGGGGCAAGTTTAATCTGCCTGAAGGTGAACTCGGCACTATCTTCTTCACCACAAACATCATCTCCGCAGCATCCATGCTGATTGCCTCGTCCCTCGCCAAACGAATTGGTAATGTAAAAGTAAGATATTCTTCACTCGGGAAAGCTGAGCGACTTCTAACATTTGGAAGACCATGGTATTCACTCATTTGCCGTCGGCAATCTGCCTGGCTCTCATCTCCGTCCCATCTAGCCTGCCTCTGGCACTGACCTTCTTGGTTCTGCGAGCCTGCTCCCAGAATATGGATGTGGCGCCTCGCTCCGCATTCCTTGCCGCGGCTCTGCCGGCGAAAAATCGCACTGCTATCATGGGCGCGGTGAATGTTGTGAAGACTACCGCGCAGAGCATGGGTCCCCTGTTGACGGGTATCTTGTCGCGCAATGGCCATTTCGGTGTATCCTTCATTATTGCTGGATGCTTGAAAGTGATCTATGATCTGGGCATGTTGTTCAGCTTTGCTGGTAAGGAGGCTGCCAGTCGGAAGCAGGCGGCTACAGATACCGACGAAGAGACAAGTTAGAATATTAACTTGGGATCATGACTACGCGTTGGTAAATTTGCTAAACCCATGTCGGAATGACCGTAAAAGGTCTTGCTGTTGTAAAGTCTGATGTGTGTCTACCATTGACACAAAATATCACTTCGTTTGGTCAGTAGACCAGAAATGATATACAATCCTGTAGACTCTTTGCTTCGGCCATACCTATTGAAGCTTTTGTTTTACACTACTTTGAGTTGAGTTCTGAGTAAGAATATCGCATCCATTCTCTATGTCCACTATTATGTAGTATTATGGGTTAGGGAATTGCGCAATTTTCACATACACAGTAGACTTTTAATTGATCGGTATACACACATGATTGCAATTCATCAAACATAAATCAAACGCTCAGACAGACGTCCCAAAACAAATTCAAACAAAACGACCAGCCCGATCTCGCAAAACAGATAGACGCCGACGTGACATCACAGTGTGGTTTCCTGGGGTAGTGCCATTGTGATGCAGTGTAACATTCAAGTGAGTAGCATGATGCTTGCCAGTGACGATATGCGAAGTCCTGTTCTTCAACAACTCCAACATCTGATGAACGATCTGCTCACTCTGCGCATGACCGGCCATATTAACACGGCTCTCCTGCGCCGGCTCGCGCTGGTTATTCACAACCTGGGACGTACGCCACGAATCCGAGTTCGACCCAGGCGTCTGGATATTATTGATATCCTCGACGGAAGTATGTTTCTCAGTACGCACAGGCGCATCGGGCGCAGCAGTAGGCATGGACTGCTTGGTGTCTGCTTGCTTGTTCTCTTCTGTCGTCTGGGGAATGTTCTCGTTGTGGAGAGGGCTATCGCTGCCGCAGACAAAATTCACCCAGACCTGGCTATAAGCGACTAACTGGCGCGGCACACAATGGCTGACTTCGACGCCATTTCGGATCTCTTTGTTGATTAGGGGCGGGTCGATGCAGCCTGGGACCTCGTGCACGCTGATGTTGCAGCCGCTGCCGCCTTCTAGGAAGGGGAGGTCGTGGTTGTGGGTGAGGAGCTCGGCGTCAACAGAGATAGCGCTGACGAGATTGTGCTCGTAGGAGGGGACAGGGAAGCTTTTGCAGCTGTCCAAGGTGATATCTTGGGATGGGCCGGATTCTTGGTAGTCTTCGTATGTGTCCAGCTTGCTGAATGTCTCGCCAGGGCAGTTTGGGTAGAAGTGTGTCCAGACACGAGCGATGCTTTGGGCATGGACTGCGCCTGATAGTAGGGATAAGGAGATGAATGAGGTGGCGAGGGAATGCATGGTTGCTAAGATTCAATGTCAGTGAAGTTATAGTTTGATGATCAAATTGAACTGTGTGATTGCAAAGCGTAGACAGCAAGATGCGCATCTACTGCTCTTATATACCTAGTGCGCCCTATCAAATTCTTCTTATACGATTGTACCGCGATAATGGGATGGCGGGGAAGAATGGCTATGATGCTGAACATGAAACGTATCTAAAATTCGAATGCAACTTCTGCGTCATACTCAGGGGCTGGCAAGTGTCAAAAAATCCCATGTTCACTCAATCGGTTGTCTGATCGCACATTCCATTCCCGAAGGGTCCATATGATGTTGATCTAGGATCGCGTGTGGTATGTGGGCACTCCCTATACATTCCATTGAACGGCTGTTCGCCTCTAGAAAGGCTTGGAAATGCTTGGAAGCTATAAATACTGCCACATTATTCGTGCGTTCTGTCCAGATAGATGACAGGTCAAAAATAATTGGTGACAATAATGTATGAGGTTGGCCGGTGATCATTCCGCGAGAATTTTATCGGCTCTGACAGCCTCGCTTGATATATTGTTGATGCTAGTAGTTTAACTCCCTCGCTGTTGACGTCGCGACTATGTCATCAAAAAACCAAGATCTCATGGTTACGAAGTGGGTTGATTCTATAGAGATTCTATAAACACGATAAATATGAATGTCACTTAAGGGGACGTATCGCCAGATCTACCAAAAGCTGACAACTTAGGTTTAATTACAGACCCAATTTGAAACCACCCCAGCTAAGGATGGAGAAAACTCCTGCAGGATCATAAGAAGACCTGATCTTTCTCATGCGAGCGACGTTCTCACTGGGGAAACCCGCATAAGGATCTTGCCACTCACCAGCATCACCCATGTAGATGAACTCAGAAGCAAGACCTAGCTCTTTGTTGATACCGTGAAGGTGCTCAACTAATTGACGTGCCCAAGCTTCCATGCGAATATCATCCTGGGCTAAGTCCCAGCCGGTACTGAGTTGCCAAACTGTACAGTAATGGTAAGCCTAAGAAGCGCAACCGAACTAAGTTTGGAAGGACTTACTAATAAGAGGTTCTTCTTCGAGACCCCAAACGTTACCAACACCGTTGGTCTTGGCCACGCGGACTGAAGTCGGGGAAATGACATTCATGACAAAAGTCGGGTAAAGACCCTGGACATCGGCGATCTTGTCGACTGCGGCTTTCCAAGCCTTGTAAATCGAATAAAGAACCTCCGCGTCGGGTTTCATCGTCTTGTGAGAGAATTGGACACTAAGTAATCAGTAAAGTGAAAATTGCAATACAGGCGAGATTACATACCGCATCATCTGCTTAGGGGAGTCAAGGACCTCAACCCATGGCTTTATAGTAGTGACATTGTTAATTCTTTGGGTTGCTGGAATTTTGGTAAAGTTGGCGAATTGAGATGGGGGGCTGCTGACACCCTCCTGAACACCGAGGACAGAGCCCTGTGCCACCTTGGTGGTCGCATTGTAGGTGATAGTGGCGATCATGCCTGCCGCAATGGGATCTTCATCGTCCAGCTTAGCCGCCTCGCAGACAGCAGAGATATAGTCGGGAATGTGTGTCTCGTTGAAAACTTGAATAGTTGTGCTGATCTTAGGAATATCGTAAGTCTTCAACTCGAACCGAGTCACGATTCCAAAGTTGTTTGCACCACCCTTCAAGGCCCAGAAGAGATCGCTGTGCAAAGTCTTGTTGACAGTAATCTGAGTTCCATTTCCAAGAACGATATCGTATGTGACCACATTGTCCATGGCGTAGCCGTACTTGTTGTTGAAGTAGTGGAAGCCACCGATAAGACTGAGTCCGGGAACACCAATGGTCTTCATACGGCCACCGATGCAGACACGGCCATGAGGCTCAAGTGCTGAGTCCACCTCGTACCAATTGAGTCCAGGGCCAACCTCCACGGTGTTACTCTTCACAGTGATCGAGTTCAGATTCGATAAAGCAATCAGAACTCCCGCATCGATGTTGTTCGCTCCAGGATACTGTTGTAGAGTAGAGAGTTAGTATTATTTCATAGTTTCTATTCGATAGAAGCTTACGTTCATGTGGCCTCCGCCACGAACAGCAAACTGCGCATCACAGGCACCGATGATTTTGACCGCTTGCGACACTTCAGCAGCAGTATTGGGCACGAAGACACACGCAGGAGAAAGATTCGCGCGAATATCCCAGTAATTATCGACTGTCTGAGTCGTGTAGTTTGTCGCACCGGGGAGGATTATGCTTTTCGGCATAGACCGAGAAAGCTTCTCGCAAGCACATGAAGCTCCCTTGGGGACCTGAAGAGTACCAGAAGAAGTGGAGAGGAAGCCCGTTACAGTCGCCGAGGCGCTCGCGCTGCTCGAATTGGCATATGCAAGACCCGAAAGGGATAGCCCGACAAAGGGAAGGAGAAGCTGCATTTTGACTGTCAGAATCAAATCTGTGATTGATGCTTCTCAGAAAATCGCAGGGGGCGGTCCTTTCTTGTAGTTTTGCAATCCTTCAGTTTTCTGCTTCCATGGTACGCATGACCAGGGTAGTTTCACTCCGGTCCACGGTGAGACTAATTCTTTTTGGTGTTCTCCATGATGATCACACGGGCTCGTTTTTGGATCAACGTTTTGGATCATCTCAATATGATCCACATGAGTTGAACAGGGCTATTTCTTGTTCAGGCAGAACAATTGACATGTTAAACTTGGGATATAGATCTTGAGTAATCTTAAGTTTATCTTTTTCATCGAACAACACCTGCAGATGGCCAGGCTACATAATAACACGGACCCGAATACGAGAGATAAAGTTACGAATACGAGGCTTCCTACAACCAATAAGAGACCGAGATTTACTCTTATTCGGACTTTCGGGTTCGGATCTTTGATCTTCAAACAGTTTCGAGATTGACATGTCTACAAGAGTGACGAAGTAGGGAGCAAAATTAATCGGCAGCCTAGAATATATAACTTCGTCCCAAGCCACAATCATGATATACACCCACAATAAGCTTCTAGAAACAAGGCTGTCTAAATCTTCTCGGATTCCAACCCAAATCTGAACCCAGAATAGATTTTCGGGCTCAGCACTAGATCTCGCAGAAAATTCACAGCAATGCAATTGTTATATAAATATGAAAGCGTCCGGCCGGCAATCAATACATCTTCATAGTCAACATTGCTTTTAGATTCGATTCTTACTTTTCAATTACGTCTTCTCCTTTACTCAATTCAAACCATAGCAATGGCCAACGAATCCACCTACACTCTCTACAACTATAACCCATCGGGAGTTGCAGCAATTATCTTTGTTGTTCTCTTCGGATTGACCACCCTGGTGCACATTTTTCAAATGATACGGAGTCGATCATGGTTCTTCATTCCTTTCATTATCGGAGGAATCTGTCAGTATATATCTTATTCGAGAACGGAGATATAAAGCTAACTTACTTATAGTTGAAGCTATCGGCTACCTCGGTCGCTATCTTAACTCGCGAGAAAGCCCCAATTGGACAACACCCCCATATATCATGCAATCACTCTTGCTCCTTCTCGCACCAGCCTTCTTCGCCGCATCCATCTACATGGTCCTGGGCCGCTCAATTATCTCCACCGGACATGAAAAGCTCTCTCTTATCCGAGTCAACTGGCTGACCAAAATATTTGTCTGTGGAGACGTTGTCTCCTTCCTCGCTCAGTGTGCTGGCGGCGGCTTCCTCTCTTCCGCAAAGACCCAGTCTAAGCTTGCTCTAGGACAAGACATCATCATTGCCGGTCTTTTTATCCAAATTGCGTTCTTCGGATTCTTCGTCGTGACTGCTGGTGTGTTCCATTACCGGCTTTGGAAAGCCCGTGATGGGACTTCTACATCCGCCACCACGGTGCCGTGGATGAAGTGTTTGTTTGTGCTATACACGGCTAGTCTGTTTATCATGATTCGGTCTATCTTCCGTGCCATTGAGTATATTACGGGTACAAATGGTCCGATCATGTCGACAGAGGTGTACTTGTATGTCTTTGATGCTGCTCTGATGTTCTTGACTATGGTCACCTTCAACATCTTCTCTCCGAAGACATTGGTGACTCCCCGATCGGCTACACGTGATATTGACTCTCAGACGAGTCACAAGGAGATGGTCGATATTAGAAGTGTGGCATGAGAAATGAACCTGAAACAAACTTTTAACCTTAAAACGGAAAAGGTACCGTGGAAGGTTTTCTTTAGCTTAACGTTATTATGTGGGTCTGGATAGGGCTAGCGTCTTGGCATTTGACATTGATTTTTGGATTACGAAAAACTCTTTCTTAAGACGTTCAAAAATACTAGTGATATCATGGTCGTATTCGTAGTTATCTTATAGTACAGTGAAGAATCTCTGTGGTTGGCAATAACATCACTGGCTGATATCTTAGTAAGTTAGCAAGCCCGCGATCAACGTAATGAACAATACTTGCAGAATAAAATCAACAGAAGTCAGATTAATCGATGATGACGGACTAATTACTGCCATATTCATGAAGACGAAGGTAGGCCTAAACACTACAAAAGGGAACAAAGAGAAGTCTTTCAATTGCATGAGGACAGTCAAAGCCTCAAAGTATGCCTGAAAGTATCAGCAACCAATCACCAGGACCAGATCCAGAACCTTCTTTGTAGAAAAGATTGCCAAATAAACATACTTCTCTGTACAAAAGCATGTAGGTATATTCTCTAGGCCGACTGGAAGCGGAGAGCTAACTCAGGTCCCAGCAAGCCTTTGCGAATCAATGCTTCATAGGCCTTTGTCTCCTTTGCAGAGTCAATGGGGATGTATTCTAGACTCAATACCATATCCTTTGTCTTGCGCTTAAAGTAGTACGCTACGAAGGCTATTGTAGGATAGATATTGAGCCAATAAGTAGAAATAAGCCTATTAAGAACTTGATTGCGATTAAGTTCTGGAAACTCTATATTCCTAAATCGGTCAGACCCTCTACTGTTAACCCATTCCCTGTTGTCAATGTTATAATATGGTTTATAACCATATTATATGAGGTATAGAAGTTTCCCGACTGTAAACTGTTCAGTTCTGGTAGAATAAAGACTGTATGTGCCTTTCAACGGTCTAGCAAGTATTTTTATGGCCTACGGAGTATGTAAATTTTTAAGCAGTTGTCTAATAGTGGTAGTACAGCTAAAATCAGTTAGTTTTAAGTTCAAGTTACTGTCTAGAAGACAGTTGCCTGAATGTAGAACATTGTGATAGAAGCCTATTTTCTCTACATACTCAAGAGCGGAGGTGAGTTGTTATATCTACCGAGCGACGAGAGCAGGATCCTCGTACTCCTTGACCCTGATAACTCGCCCTACCCAGTGATTTATTGTTGGCTCCCGCTCCTGGTAGTGAAAAAAGCGAGCGAAGAGTGGCCCATGCGTGCAATATGGTAGAAAAAGATAGTCAGGGAGCATGAGAAAGCATATAACAATATCTGGACATCGATCTTGAAGCTTATCAAGACCCTTGAAGAACGCGATTTCTTGATCAAAATGTCCTCCTCTAGGGTTTCCTTTTCTTCGGGGGTCAGGTCGGCATGAACAGTTTTCACCAATTTTCACCACAATGGTTGGCGCGACGTGGTAGATAATAGAGTAGATCCCCGCGCCAACCTCACTTATGAGGCGGGCACGGACCTTCCAAAAGAACAACACAAACTCAATAACGGCACAAGAACAATCAGAAAGAATGACTGCCGCGTTATCCCAACTCAGCATGTAGTAGCTCATCACTACTACATAGGTCATGAATTGTCGATACTTCGCTATGCAATATTCACGAACGGTCAAGGTTGCCAAGGAATTCTAGAAGGGTCTTCAGATTATAAGAAATTTTGAAGCATCACAAGGAGAACTGACAAGGATACTTAAAAGTAGATCATGGCAGAGGCCCACCTAGTGCGACCTCGTACCACTTACTATCGGCTGTTTGGGCCTAAAGGCCTTTGGCCTTGCAGTAATCGCAAGGAACCTGCGTGGTACCACCGAGAATACTATAGTTTCTGCCAGTCTCTACCCCGTAGGTGTTGCATCCATCAGAGACCAGATGGCCAGGTATGTTATGATAATTTTCATAAGCCCGCTTCCTTCTACTGTAGGTTCTCTTGCACATGTTGACGTGATCTGATCTTGTTGGTTATTCTGTTTTCAAAAGACCTGGGAGAACAAATACCTTGCGGCAGAGGCCTTGTCCGTGCTAGAAGCTTTGTGTTTATCGGATGATGAGAAGAAGTTTGGTCTGAAAAGTGTCTGTGTATTAGATCAGAAAATTTGAGGAAGAATAGTCCTTTTTGTAATGTTTGATCCGTTAGGACTGCTACTTCTATTACGTAAATCTCAAAAATCAGGCCTAGTATATTCCCTTGCCTGAACGACTATAATAGTTTGCTTCGTTTCGCTCAGCAAAATAACATAAATTATATCTTCCACTTGTCGAATGTATTGTTACTGACTCTTCTTAAAGAGAGAATAAAAAGCAGGACTTAGGAGAAGTCACGATGTGTCAAAAAGAAGAATGTAGAGCATCCCGCCTGCCCTCTAGAGCTTATACCGCAGGGCCTAATCGACTAACCCTCTGAATTTTAAAACACCCTCTTGGAACTTGGTGATTTCCCTCCAATCTTCCCTTTATTAAAGTTATACTAATGGATGGATTGTAGGTAATGTTAGAATTGAGAGCACGCGATTACTAGTTTCTGGGAGCCCAGGTCCATCTGTATCTGGCTATAACTAGTTTCATGAACATACTAATACAGCAAAGGTTCTATCGAAACTTTCAGAGTAGATATGTCCGACCAAGAGCAAATATTATTTCTTTCTTACAACTCATGGCCTTCTTCCATACGTATTATACCGATTACCCCCATATGCAGGCCATCAACGCGCTGCTTCGAATTAGTAAGCCTGACCTGCAGCTCTCATACCCTCTTTTCAATTTGAGGCCTCTATATATCTATATCGATGTTGAACTGCCTTCTGGATTAAAGGTCAGCATTGAGGTGTCGAGGGAATTTAGTTATTCCTTCATTCGGTATATTTGGCTCTAGACATCAGGCGTCTCGGTAGACAAAATGTCGCAATAGTAAGTTTCTAAACACGAGGCCAGTACGCCCATAAATCAGAACAAGGATTTTTGATTAGTCCTTGTTTTAGGGCCTGTTTGAAGTATATCAACGCTGCCTTCTACAATGTGTGAGTGGATGACTCCATATCCCTCGTCTCATTTTACAAGATGAAGGTAAGCAGTTGAACGAACGTCCTTAGGACACCCAGAAATCTAACCAACAAAGACTTTGCTTACTCTTTTAGACCCTTATCGTCTTGTGCTTTTGGCTTCTGAAAAACAGATCCGTTGATTTTGTTCATGACTCGTTGCTGGCTTTAAGGCGCGGGGAAGATTGATTGGTATCGGTAACACCGTTGTCGGCGAGAGGTCAGCAATTTTCGGCATCATCAAATCGATAATCAGTAGTTGAATGGGACACTTGCCTGTGGAGGTTATATTTTTAAGTTGCACCCACGGATCGTTGATGAGACCCTGCCTTACGTGGTTTTGTCTATTTGAACTTGAGAAAAACGGGAGTTAGTCAATTGGCTAACTATTGCTTAGTTTCTAATCTTAACCCTGAACTTCTTCTCATCTATCACCTTCCAGTTGGTGTATTTAGGTACACGTACAAAAACAATATCTTGACGTACAGGTAGGAAAGAATACAGCGTATTTTACCACTAGGCCATAATGATGGGGTCCCTATCTCTAAGTCCCACTTTGCCCCACTTTGTCCGATGAACTTGGTAAACTCTATTCGCATCAACCTTTTTGTCTTTTATGCCTTGTAAAGTCTCGTCACGTATTCCTTTGTGTCATTTAATACCTTCAGGTGCCATTATGTTTCGCATTCTCTCATATTATGCTTCTCATGCCATGGTGATATGATGGATTCTACCCGAAATTCATTAAATTTGAACCCTGGCTCCTCTGCACCTTCGAAAGCCAGCGAGGACATGCGACCGAACTGGAACTGTGAATGGCAGGAACCGTATCATTTAACTAGAGCCGAGGTGATATTGGGTGAAATATGTCTTTGAGCCACTTGGAACATTTTTCGGGGATGACTCGATGCTTATAACTAGGCTTTGTTTTTGTCCATGATTTCCTTTGGAGTATCCGCGATGAATCCGTGTATATATATTCCATATGATAACTAGTTACGCGTATCTGACTATGTGACTAAGAGAAAAGGAGTGATCAACAGAAGTCAGATTGATTGCTAATGATAGTATGCTACACTATATATAATGGTTTCTTTGGTGCCTTCGATGGCGCTGTACTTCATTATCTCAGAGCTTCAATTTTCAACTCAATTGTTGCAATATCTGTTCAAACATACAAATCATATTCATCGTCGCATCCACAGTAGTGATAATCATTAATGCTAAACAGAAGAGATCGACATGTACAACATCACTGATAATCAAAATACAGTCGCTTAAAAAATCGGAAGAACATTCCCAACAAAATCCTTCAATCTCTGGAGGCAGAGAAAAGGCTATGGTAATGTCTTCGTGGTTATCATGACAAAGGGAAGTAGTAGTGAGAAGTCATGTCTGCTTAGACCCATTCTCAGCACTATCATTTTCCCCATCCTCGACATAGGCAGCCTGATTGTCAGCCTCAGACCTAGCCTTGACACTAGTCTCCGTCTCCGTATTAGCGTCATCATCACCCCCGTGCTCAGCCGCTTCCATGGCCGCTCGCTGCAGACTTGCAGGCTTGGTTTTCTGAACCGACTTGCCCTTATCCCGACTCCTGTCAGGCAATGACTGCTCCGCCTCACTCTTCAGGTCAGCGGCAGACTCATCGCCAGCCTGGGACAGGCGGGAGCTCTGATTCAAGCTCCTTCTCGCGCGGGCACGTGCACGACGGATCATCTTGTTATGGTAATCTTCCTGTTCAAGCTCCGTATCCTCATGGAGGATGCGACGGGCAGCTTCGCGCCCAACAACGGGCAGTCGGTCGACACCCTGGACTCCGTTTGGCAGCAGCTTTGGGTCCAAAAGACCAACTTGGACGAGCACGCTGGCTTGGTCCCAGTACACGTGCTCGGAGTAAAGACGCCCCCCGCGCAAACTGACAATGCTCACGAGGATGATCTCGACTCGCTTGTTTGTCGCCGGGACGCCCGGTAGCATCCATGGAACCTCCTGTGTGTGCTCGTAGCTGACGTACAGCTCATCTACGATGCGGTCGGATCCTGTGGTACGAGATAGCAGTCGCAGGCGCATGGACGGGGGCAATTTGCCGATGAAGTAATGTTCATAGAAATGGCGCAAGGATTTTTTCCCGATGCCGCCGCTGATTGTCGGCGTGTAGGTGACACTAGGGGTTTTGTGTTGAACGTAACCATCCATGGTTTTCTTGACGTTCGACGAGAAAAACTTGGCTAACAAAGTATTAGTCCGCCATGGCTCAACGGTTTTGCGATTTAAACTTACCTTCCACATGTTGCTCATACCGCTGCTCGTAATCCGGATCCCTGGAATACCCCTTCCGCAGGACCTTCAAAGTCCGCGACCAAGCTAGCTCCGCCGACAGACGATCGTATTCCTCCAGATCTGTTTCCGCAAATCCGGGCACGGCATTATCATACGTAAACGCCGGGTACCCTAAATCCAAACGCTCTCCAGTCCCGATACCAGCGTTGATCGGCCGTGTCTGGCGGCGTTTCTTCCCTTGCAAACCAAGTGCGACAGGCTGAACAAGTACGTCCACAGTCTTGCCCGCCAAGTGCACGAGGACCTGGAGTGAGAGTGGGAACCGAGATCGCGTATCAGGGATTAGACTGGGGTAATACGCGACCAGGGCGCAGAGTCGACTGGCGTTAATGGAATTGATATAGTACCCGAGACAGTAGTCCGCAGCGTCGCCGTAGGCTAGGAATCGGGTTGGTCAGTTTGTCACTCGGAGTTTATATGTTCAGAGAAGTTCTGTGCATACCAACCACGGCGTAGTTTTCGCCTACACCGAGTCCGTCCTTTACAGACTGCAACCGACGAGCGTAGTCTTTTCCTCCGCCGTTATAAGGGAGGTATAGGACGTCGAATCCTTCCTCCTGCCAGTTCTTGATGATCTCGATATCGAAATCTTCGGTTTCGGCTGTGATGCATAGTCGCGCATTATTGTTGCCATTGTTGTAAAGAAACCCGCCGCTGCTCAGGCCAGGGGCACTAATCGATATGTTGGCCATGCTTTTATTTGTGGGTTTCGAACGGATGAAGTGTTTGATTGTTCCGGCAATTCGGCTTCTTGCAGATTGTTCCCGTCTCAAATAGCAAGGACAAACGAGTCAGTCCAAGGACTATGCAAAATTCCTCATGAAAAGTGGTCAGCCATGGCACATAGTTGACATATAACCTGTAGATGGGTCGCTAGGGCTACGTCATTGGCACATGCCTCCATACGTCATATCCGTCATCCGTCGACGACTGGAACATGGCATTTATATATTAACTCTTGGCATCTACAGCATAGAATAATTTGAGAAGTTGTATTTCTTTTTTCTTTCTTTCATCTGACCTTATTCAGATATCTTATATGAGCTCAAACGCTGCAGATGAAGGTGATGTTCTTTTTTGCTCCTCAAATAAGGAAGGCCGGTGTTTGTTGTTATTTACGTGTGCCTTGTTCCTCTTTATGACCCATGGAACCGTTAATGCCATTGTAAGTGGCTACGGAGTACCATTGTTCTTGGGGCATTGATACAGCCACCCCCCCCTTTGGATATGACCACTCCCTGCTGCCTGATTCTGCCTGATTCTGCCTTGGACCTCGGGCATTAATTTATTCTAACGAGAAGGTTTATTGATTCCAAAATCGACGGTCAGCCCTGGAATATGACATACTAGTAATCTGGATAGCCTGCGGCCGCCCAGATATCGTTGCAGAGCAAAACGACTGACTCTTACTTCTAATGCTACGTAAGTGTAGGGACCATTGGGACATGCCCGAGAGGCCCACGTGACTATATATTAACAGTCTAGCTAGATTGGGCCTAGTCTATATTTATTCTGCCGATTGGATTATTCTGCCAGAGTTGGCCGACTAATCCTTCACCGCGTTGATTTCTAATGATTTCGGAGCCTGTACATAGGAAAAAGAACGGTCATGTGACATACACACACGAGGTTATGATTTAATTGCGGAGCGACGCAATTAGCTACTCTCCTTCAGCTAAAATTCTTGGCCACACCAGATTCCAGGCTATGCTTCACATTTTAGCCCCCAAAGCTGTCCGCTTTACGCTAGCCAATGCAGGTAGGGAAGTGCGGTGAGATCGTCGTGTTTTGACTCCGCCACGCGCATTTATGCGGAAATAAGCCTTCCTTTTGGGTTACTGCGCAGAGTGGGATGCGCGATTTCGTGTTTTGGCGCAGGTCATTGGTCGAAGGTTCTATTCTTTGGGGAAGTTTTGAGTTGCGGATACTGTGGTATTATAGTGTTATTTGTTAATAAGGAGGAACCCACGGCATGACATGTTGGAGGGGGCTTTTTTTTCTTTTCAACGTCATCTACAAATCAATTTGAATTATTGTTGAACATTAGCTAACGCACTTTCATCCGAATTCTTTCTTCAAAAGCATTAAGTCATGCTCAGAGCCAGGAGAGAGGCCCGAAAAAGAGCTCCTGCACAAGACCCTCGACACGCACAATCGGGTGGCCGATCTCGATACCGTGAACGAAGGCAGGGTTATCCACCCGAACAGTACAGTCCAGGGCAAGACCAGTACGGACATCCCCAGCAACAACAATACAGCCAAACTCAGCAGCATGGCGCGCCACAGCCGCAGTGGCCGCAAGAATCATACAATCCCAGGCAAATGTACGGCCCGCCACAGCAGTATGTGGGTCAGCAGCCACCTACACTTCCACCGAGCGAACTCTACGCTCCCAACGAGTTGTATGTGCGGCAGCAACCGCCGAGTGAACTCTACGCTGGCAACGAACTAGAAGCCCAGTATGTGAGACAGCAACCGCCGAGTGAACTCTACGCTCCCAACGAGTTAGAAGCCCAGTATGTGCGACAGCAACCGCCGAGTGAACTCTACGCTGGCAACGAACTAGAAGCCCAGTATGTGAGACAGCAACCGCCGAGCGAACTCTACGCTCCCAACGAATTAGAAGCCCAGTATGCGAGACAGCAACCGCCGAGCGAACTCTACGCTGGCAACGTGTTAGAAGCCCAGTATGCGAGACAGCAACCACCTGCACTTCCGCCGAGTGAACTCTATGCTGGCAACGAATTAGTAGCCCAGCAAAGTCAACCCTACCCCCCAACACAGCTACTTCAGCTCCCACCCCAGCTTCCAAGCGTATCTCGGCCCTGTGTTATACCTCGTTAGTATAAAGCCTATCCGTGAATTAGTGGCCAAATCTAACCAATGTATCACTTACCCAGAGATAAGTCATAGAAGATTCAACGGCGAGAACATGAGCCCATTCGCTCGCGTCCGCGTACCAGAACTAGAGCACCAAATCTCGTCCGATGAACTTATCGTTTTCATCGATGAACTAAACGAAGCGTTCCTAGCGAACCCAGCCCTTCAAGCCGCCAACAACGCCGCCAATGTCGGCGGCATGGCCCCCTCCATGATTGTGCAGATGGTCAGTGTGAGTGTCAACGTGGTAGCTGGGGTCAGCTCATCAGTTACAACCAAAGTGCGCACGAAGAAGTACCTAGCCAAGGCGAACGAGGAGCTTTTCCATCCCAAGGGTTTGCATGTCCAAATGTGCAAGACGGATAAGATGCTTGAATATGTTGGCTTGGGTGATCAAGAAAATGTCTTCGTTCGTCAGCAGTACCAGGATGCTTCTGAAAGTAACAACCACCCCATTATGCAGCGCATGAGTTTGTTGGGAAATCGAGTTATGTCACTTTCCTTCAATAATGTTAAGGAACCAACAATGCCTGATGGATTTTGGAAGAAATGGGGTGCGAAAGAAGCTAGCAAGGCCGAACAGAAGCAGAATGAGAAGATGATAAAGGATCAGGCTAGGCAAGATCGGAGGTCAGGGAGGAGAGGAGATCGGGGGACTACAAGGAGACAGGAGAGGCAGGAAAAGAAGAAGACGAAGGAGGCCAATAAAATCTTGTGGATTGTGATTGCTGCAAAGGAGGAAAGTGCTGGAGGGGATGACGAGTGGGATTCGGAATCGGAAAGTTCGGGGAGTCACACTTGATTTGGGACTTTTGTTTGGTATTTCGTTTATTCTGTGTTTGCTTGTTCATCACCTAATAGCGCTTGGTTGAGTATTTGGGAGTTGTAATGTGCACTAGAGAGGATGAGCTAGACTAAATAATAACTAGGTTGTGAAGTACAAGGTACCTATCAAATGTAGGCGAAGACATTTAGGAAAGGCATACAAAAGTCTAGTCGAGGGATGAACAATGTCTTCCATAGTCTTCGGCTTCGCCTTAAACAAAAGTCTCAAGCACGATAATCAGGGTCCTCAGGCAAGTCGACCCCCCAAAACTTCCGCATGCGCTCGCGGAACAGTTCATAACATGACCCCATTCGCAAAATCTTCATCTGGTCAAAATCCATGATGAGAGAAGGTCGTCCATATACATGATAGCGTTGCAGACCATAATCGACAATCAAATCCGCCGCCTCCTTGAGTTCATCCTCAATATCTTCGACACGGAATTTCTGCCCACCACCTGACACGTTTGCACTAGAGCCTACCATGAGCTGGCCTGATGTAGCATTCAGTCTGCAAATCTCTCTCAGAAGTGAACTGCAGCTGATGAACATAGCGATAGTGCCGTCCTTTGTGACCTTAGAGAGGGTTTGTGGGGATAAAGCCCGAAGAAGATGATGACCGTTGCGGCATGGCCCAACAGCCATGAAGCTCATGTCTAGGTCTTCGACTAGCACACGTGTCATTTCAAACCGCTGGTCGTCCAGGATGTGAAGTTCCCGGTGCAATTCATGTGTGCCATATAGACCCTGAGCGTGACCTGGCCGGCGTCGCTTCGCGGCGAAGGCACGGTCAATGGCCTCCGCAGAAGTGGCCATCAGTCCGTAGCCCACTTCGGTCGGTAGAATAACCACACCTCCTGACTCGAGGACCTGGAAAACGCGTTGGGCATCTGCACGGACGTTGGGGAGATCTCCAGGGCCAGGAATTATCTTGTCTTTGAAGGGCTCCATGGTGTCGGCCAATCCGAGTTGAAGAAGAGGTTTATCTTTGGGACGAAAAGGAAGAAATCAAGCTCATGCAAACAGAAAATAGATGTGCAAACAGTCTCCTAAATATGTAAACGAGGTAAAGCGCAATTAGTTGCGCTTATGGACCAACCCCGCCCCCGCCATCTTCTAAAGCTAGCGCGCAATTAATTGCGCGCGCCGAATCAAATTCCACAATCTACAACGAAGGTGAACCGAAATTTTGGAAATATCACTCTAGATGTCAGAGAATGAGTGGAATCCCGCGTCAGTCGACTAGTTGAGCTACACAATGAGGTCATGTAGTCTAGGAAAGTGTGACAAAATTTGTAGCCTCTGCTAAGAAGCTATACCCGATGGAATGACCCAGCAGCTACTTGCGACTGAAAGGTTGGGTCGCAGAACCCGTAGACCTCAACCATGGTGATGGAGTTTTGGGGGTTGAAAGTAGCTAAATTGATAAGATGGCAATGAAGAGACAGGAACGATCAAATAATTCAGGAAAGGCATGTCAACACGAGTACCATACGTGACCATCTACGCTACGAGTAGGGCAAAAAGATAGGGAAGGAAGCCACGAGGGACCGGGCCAGAGGCTCTGCCGATCGCGATGCCCCACTCTTTTGAAAAAGTCTTGGCGCTACTGGATTCCCCTTTTGGGCTTAGCTTCGCCCCTAAACTCTCCACCTTGCGCTAAAGTACGGTGGATCGTCGTGCTTTTGGCTCCGCCACGCGCAATTATGCGGAAATAAGCTGATAGTTAATCAGCTACTGTTGTGAGAAAGCCTAATGCTTTAGCCAAGCACAAATAGAAGTCAATGCAAGCTTTCTGTCAGTAATTCACAATTCACAACCACCAAGTTCAGATAGTAGTCATCGCGGATGTGCATTCATATTCATCGTGCATAAAATCTAGTCTAGATCGCCTGTAACTTCACTGGGATAATAAAATGTGAAAACTCATGCTCCCTCGGCAGTATCATATCCGGTCTCATATCTTGTCATTTCCTCCTCCTTCTGGGCTTGCTCCTTCATCTGCGCCCTTTGTAGAGCCCGAGCTTTGGAGATCATTCTATGAGCGGATATGACATCCATGAGCAAGCCCAGCGGGTTCAAGTAAGCGGCCCATGCGTGCAGTCCCATCCAGCCACCCTGGTAGCGTTTCTGGAATCCACTCGTCAACACCTCCTCGTCGCCATCGGAATCGATGGCCTGGTACTCTTGAGGCCGCAGGATCACGGTGCGAGACGCGTTGGAAATTTCGTAAGGCTTTGTCCGGTAAGCGTAAAGGACCAACAAGCATAGCGGGACCATCTGTACGCAGATGATCATTTCTGGTAGACCTATCATGACGTCGACATAGGTCAATGTGTCGTTGTTGTGAAGGACATTGGCGCTCTCCAAGATGAGAAAAATGATCTTTTCCAATATGACCAGTCCGACAATCAGTTTGAATGCCAGCAACTTGGTGAGTGGGTGGTGATCTTTCATATGTTCCTTCATGTTCATGTAGAATTGAATGATGGCGTTGACGGCCACTGATGTTGACAGAGATGTGGCAGCTGTGATCTATCATCTATGTTAGTCTCTCTTTACTGTATATGGGGACGTATTGGAAGGGTAAATCCATACCCAAACATGAGCGAAGTGGGGTGATTTGCTTGAAAGGCAGTACCTGTGCAACAACTGGGTCACCAGCTGTGCGACAGCTGTAATACAGGTGATGATTGGATATTGAAGGACAGACCACCAGGTCAACTAAAGGGAAGATTCGGTCAGCATTCGATAGTGTGCGTTTCAATGGTCAGGGTACTTACACTAAAGAACGCAAGACCGTTTCTCTTCTTCTTTGGTTGCCACTGTCTCTTCGTCTCGAGCGAAGAGAAGAATTCCACCTTACCCCGGTCCGTGGGGGCCAAGAACTCGCAGAGTAACATCAGAAAGGCGTATAGAGCAATACCCTGGAATACCTCGGTGAAGCCTTGTAGATAGATATAGGAGTTTGGAACGCAGATCGAGATGAAGGACAGGACTTGGTAGGAGGGAATCATGTTGACGATTCGCATGATCCTGTATATGCTTTTAGTATCGCAAGGCTGTCTCGACCTTACTGGTGGACTTACTTGATTTGTTCTTCGGGGTTACTCATGCGCATCGCATGGCGTCCCATAAGACCGAAAGTCAAGAACAGCACTATGATAGTGCAGGCACCGGAAACAATCATGTTGAAGTGGTAGAATGAGAGATTTCCCACAAATGGTCCGCCACCAACTATTCAAAACGTTAGTTGGCGTATTAATCCATGCGTAGCAATTATCGCTCACCATTTTCAATGTGATCAGGTATAGAGCAGCCATAGCTCCCAGCGGCCGCTTGTCTCGGATTTAAAGGACCCATTTTGAAGAGCGCTAAAGCCGACAAAAGTAGATATAAGGATTCGTGAAAAGACGAAATGAAATAGATTGCGAAAAGAAAAGGAAACCCCCGAGTCACCCACCTTTTATCTATCCCGTAAACCCAAAATCTTACTCAAAATCTTACATGTCTAGGGCGCACTGCCGATCCCTCTGAAAAGTCTTGATTTTTTGGGCCTTAATTCAGCCCCAGACTTTGCATTGCTTAGCCCCAATCCCCAAAGTCTGTAGGCCCCAGTGCTAGCCAATAATGGTCAGGAGTGCGAAGATCGTCATTCAAATTTCTCTGTTGCGTGCATGCGCATTTCTGTATCTGCAGAGCGGAATTTTCTGTCCGGAAATAAATGCTTAGCTACTGCATAGCCTTCCTATCTAAAGCGTGGACTGCTTCGTTCTCCGGAGAGAGGGTTCTTCCAATAACTCACTAAACTACTCCTATCGTCACAAGAAGTATATATGTATACCAATGCAGGATATCCCTCGATAAATATAGACACTCGGGCTTTCTTTATCGGCCCGTACACGAAACAAGTCGAGTCCTGATTAGGACAAGTGGTAATTTATTGGCCACTTATAGGTAGTTAAAATTTCCAGCTAGCTATATATGGCCTAGTGTTGTCTCGGGTACAGGCCGAGAAACAAAGTGTGAACTGTATGCATAGGGTATAAACCTCATTTTATCAGGCTGGCTTCGTAAATGACGCTGTATATCGCACATATCGCAGTCATCGCGTTACTTTGTCTGCGGCCAGGGCGCTGATCTGAATGACGAGGTGGCGCCAACACCCGACGATCATTCATCGGATAATAAATTTGCGCGATAAATTTGCGCACTCAGTTTACAAATGAAATTTGCGATATATGAGACTCGACTGAAATAAGCCTTGCTGTAATTCCGTTGACATAGTATTGGGCATTGAGAATTTGCGAAGCACTGCCACAATGTCCATGGAATTCTGGTGCGGTACATTGATTCAATGATTCCGCTTCCGCTTACATCAATGTGAACTGAAGCCTGAAGGTCAAGCCACACACGGAAGGGTAAAGCAACCAATATATAATTGATATAAATACGGCTGGTCGTTCTCTCGCTAGTAATCAGTAAAACATTTAACGAATATTCCAATGAACATGCTTCTCAAAAGCCTCTTTCTCCTTGCTGGAGCCCAGTCCGTCTTTGCTAAATGCAAATGCGTATGTTATTCTATGATGATGGATCTGTATACTGCAAATTATCTAATCCAAGTTGAAATAGACACCAGCAGACGATTGCTGGCCATCAGCCTCGAAATGGACTTCTCTCAACTCTACGGTGGAAGGAAAACTTCTTCAAAACCAGCCTCTCGCCAAAGCATGCTATCACGGCCCTGGATACAGCGCTAAAGAATGTCAACGCATTGCTTCAAATTGGACAAATGAATTCTGGATCCCGGAATCTCCAATCGGATATAGCTATCCACTCGTTGATACGTGCCCCCCAATCAACGCTTCGGTAGCCGCGTATCCGTTGTGCGAGCTAGGAACTTCTCCCGCGTATACCATCAAGGCTACCAAGGCCGATGACGTCGCTGCTGGCATAAGGTTTGCCAAAGAGAACAATGTGCGACTCGTTATCAAGAATACTGGGCATGACATCTCACAGCGGTAAGGTGGACTTTTAATCTTTATATAAGTATCTTATGACTGACGATGAAAATCATGATAGATCGCAAGGATACGGCAGTTTGTCGATCTGGATAAAGCATATCAAAGGCGGGCTTCATTTTCATAAGACATTCAATTATTCGGAAGGAAACTGCCCATCTAATTGGACTGGAAGTGCGATCACTATCCAGGGTGGATATGTGTGGAAGGATGTCTACAGTTTCGCCTCTAAACACCGCCATGTCGTTGTTGGAGGAGGTGACCCTGTAAGTCCACATCAGTTTGAATGAAAACTCAAGCAATGCAATCTCACTAACACAACGCAAGACCGTCGGATGCATTGGCGGATTTCTTCAGGGAGCAGGTCATGGTTCCCTCAGCCACGAATTCGGACTAGCAACAGATCAAGTCCTTGAATACAAAGTTGTCCTTGCGTCAGGAGAGCTTGTAACGGCGAACGCATGTCAGAACTCCGATCTCTTTACTGCCCTCAGAGGAGGAGGGGGAGGTACATATGGTGTTGTCATATCAGCTACCATCAAGACGTATCCTACTCGTCCAACCCTTTACCATGACCTGACTATTGCGGATTTGGGCCACAATACCTCTGCAGTCTTGCAGGCCACGGCTCGAATGGCCTCGAAATATCCTGCAATTGTTGATGAAGGGTTCGCCGGTACTGCTTTCCTCACCCGGAAGTATGAATCTTGGGTATACAGCGCTCCCTTCATCAAGTTCCTCGCGAATGATTCAATTGAAGCGATCAATCACGCAAAAGATCTGATGAACCGAGTGATTATTGATGATCTGCTTCCTGGAAATGGAACGGATTACCTGGTATCATCTAAATGGTCTACTCATCCTTCGTGGGCCGCATGGTATGCGTCGACGCACCACACGTCCGCAGGTAATAATCAACCACTCATGGCATCGAGATTCTTCGCCAAAGATTCTTTATCCGGCAAAGAACAACAGCTATATGATTTGCTTCAAATTTTGACCACCGAGGTCGGAGAAGGGGTTCATACTGCAAACAACACTGTGCTCCTGAATATCGTTGCCGGTGGAAAAGTTCTCAACAATGTGCCATATACCTCTGTGAATCCAGCTTGGAGGAAAGCCTATCTTCTGTTACAAGGAATAGATATGTGGCCGGCAAATGCGGGTTCGGAGGAAATTCAAAAAGTTAAGGAGGAACTCACTAAAAGGAAGTTAGCAGCCATGAAAGCTTTGGCTCCTGCGACGGGAACTTATCTGAATGAGGCCGACCCGTATGATCCGGACTGGAGGAAGGACTGGTTCGGCGATAGATATGACCAACTTCTGTCGATCAAGAAGAAGTACGACCCAGAGGGTGTGTTTTGGTGCTGGCGATGCGTGGGCAATGAAGGCTGGGAAGAGGTGACGGGCGGTGCATTGTTTGGACCTTTGTGTCAAGCGAACTAACAATCATCTGTACTACTATGTTGAGTATTGTCATTATGTTTTTCCTCCTTTCCCTTCTTTCCCTTCTTGCTCTCTTCATGCACTTTGCTTTAGAGGCAACCCCTATATTCTGCACCCGTAGAGTTATATACATCTTGTCCAATAAATGCTTTAACACGAAGCAAAATCAAAATTCAGGTCATTGTACAACATATTTTCATCAAAATCCATTATCGTGGACCAGTCAAAAACGAAATCTTCAGCGCTAAAAGAATTTGGTATTGGCTCAGTAGACCACAAATTCCCCGAATCTAGGGAATTATCTTCAAAGGTACTCATGCTTGGCCCTTCTGCTGAGCCATCAGACACAGTTAGCGGCACCGGGCCAGCTTTTCCAAGATCGCTTTCTTTCTTCAGATCTCTCATGATATCAATGAATGCCATCATGACTTTAGTGCTGGCGGCAAACACGCAACCGCCAGCAAAAGCAGCTTCAATCGATTTTCCAGGCGAGGCAACCATGTTACCAAGTCTTTTAGCACACTCTGCAAGAACCAAGACTTGGTGGTCGGCATTTTCTCTCATCTTTCCAGTTAAGTTCTTGACATTGATGCTGTTATTCTCCACGATGGATCTGGAAAAGGCGAGTATATCGAGAACGATATCCCGGAATGGAGCTTGAAACTGTATGCCATCAAGTTTTAAATCTGTGCCCTTGATGAACATTTCAAGCACTGCGAGTAGCCGATCGGGGAAGGGACGCCCAAAGCGTGAGATGAATGTCACAATTTGAATGCCGAGATCATCAGAAGTATTGCTCATAGCATCCGAGAGTTTGGCGCCCATTTGACTAGCTTCCTGGATATTTATATCGGAATCACTTGAGAAGCTGCTGTTTGAGGCTCTGGACCGAAGGATCATGATGTGAAGAAGCGCAATTCCATATGATCGTCCTATTACTGCATGGAATCGATATTCCAGCAAAGAACGAGCAGCCCTTACCTCCTCGGGCGGCCCTGACTGAGCCGTATTTGACAGTGCCCAGTCACAGAATCTGATCTGTTCAAGACACTTTTGTTCAGTCTCGTCGACAACATGACATAGTCTTTGTGGATTGGTCCAGTTCTGTTTTGTTGCTTTCAAAGATTCTAGAAGCATATAGCTCGCTGTGGCCCACTGTATCTGGAAAATAATCCTTGGTGAGCAAGGACGATGCCTGAAGACATTTTGATAAACGTGGATATGGGGTGCCATGCGATCCAGCGCTTCTTGCAGTTGATGGACTGGTCTTGACAATAGTCCATCTAGAATGATATCCTGGGTGAAGATTTTCATTCCTTGCAAAGAATCTGTAATTCGATGTTCAAATTCCTCATCACTCATGGATGGTATATCTGCAAAGCTTAGATTGAGTTGCGAAGGTAGCATCTCTAATTTTTCAGCGACTTTGAAAGCTATATTGAGATATAGGGTCGACTTGATCGCTCTGTGTGCAGTATGTTGAGATACTCCCACGGTGGTTGGCCTGTAATCAGCCAAGATAATACAGACAACAACAGAGTCGCAGTGAGTGGGAGGGGAAAAGATAAACTCTTGCCCATAGGATGAAATAGCCAGCTGAAGGTTCCACTTCAAACGTGGATGAAGCCGGTCAAATTTGCCTGTTGTATCGCATGAGATCAGACAAAGCAATGCGAAGAGCAAATTGGTGCCAATATTAAGTTCGTCGTCTCCCTTGAGACGGTCTCTTATGTCTACTAAGCTTGGCAGACCGGGAATAAAAAACCTATACCAAGCCAGGCTTAAAATACGACATATGTTAGACAAGCAGTCAAGATATCCCAAGGTAACGGCAGGTGCTTACTCCTTGTCGAGACTGCTCGCTATTTCGTGGCTCACCAGCTCTGGGAGAGGAGTCATGCAGCCTGAAGTACTCCGAGGAATTGTAGCACCAAATATTCGGTCTTTGCCCAAGGCCGAGGCAAAAAAGTGTTGAAATTCAATGACAGACTCAAACACCGTCTTGTCAGCCACTGCACGTATTTCTTGAGTGGTTTCTGGACTCGTCGTCGACTCCGAGGGCGAGTAGTCCTTGATCAGAGAGTTGCCAGGTTGTTCATTTTGCGTAGCTGAATGACAGTGGGCAGAATTTGACTTCCGACCTGACTCATTTTCACCGCGCTTGAAGGATGGACGACCCAAAGTCGAACGCTCAATAACGCATCCAAGACCGAGGCTGCGGCAACGTTCGCAGGACTTTTCCGGGGGTTGTGGAGAGCCAAGAGGACCCAGCTCGTTTATATCTGGCAGATTACATTTGATTTTCCTGGACCTGCAGCCTTGACAAAGCAAGCGAGCATATCGGCCCCTGCTTCCACGTTCGGGTTTTGAGTTGGACATGTCAGCTTCACGATTGCAGTCGGGAAGTTGTTGAGCAACTAGTAGAGACTATTCAACCATCAAGCACCAGGACTCCGCCGAAGGAGAAATAAAAATGGGGCGCCTATGTTCTTCTGTGCGGGGAAGTCAAGTGGCGAAGTCCTCGAGCTCTTGTCAGTTCGGCCCCCACGTCGATTTGTCAGGAGTGACGATCATCGCGATCGAATCAGATTGTATTCAACTTGGTGTCAGACAGGAACAAACCCTTTATGCTTCTTACTAGATATTGGCAAGCGATCAGTCTATCAATGGGACATTGGCTAGGCTAGTGACAGGTTTTTAGAGCTTACTCCTCACTAAAGTGGCAGACGAATTCCTGGAGTTGTGGTAACGGGGCAGTGACTCTTTATTAGGTATATCGACAATGAAATAGAAGAAAGTTCTTAAGCTCTTTCGATGCATTGCATTCCTGTATGTTTCGATGACTGTCACGCCACACTTTTGTTAATAGAAGAAAAAGAGCGTGTGGATAGCATGAAGGGTTGGTTGTATTGGCGAAAGAATAAGCTACAAGCAAGAAGGAGCCAAGACTCTTAGCTCGGCGCCGAACCGAATTTCGTACTATGTTATTCGGCGCCGAACCCAGCTTCACCCCCCCGAGATCATGAACTACAATCAATTATTTATAAGTCTGCCCTTTTCCATTCATATTTGTTAATTTAGATCAATTGCAAAGATACCCTTGCTTCAAGTTCAACCACTGTCGTATTATACAATGATTCGATCGATAGAAAAGCAGCTCGACCAGGAAGCTACCACCGAGAAGCCCTCGGAGGTCAAGAAAGATGAGACTCATTTACCAACGGGGACCCGGCTGCTAGCTATTATTGTTTCTATTCTGTTCGCTATGTTTTTGGTTGCCTTGGTATGAATGTTGCATTCTCTATTGCCCATGTAGATATATACTAACAAGACATTGAACACTATAGGATCGCACCATCATTGCTACAGCAGTTCCTCGCATTGCAAACCAGTTCAATTCCCTAGACGACCTCAGTTGGTATGCGAGTGCATATCTGCTGACAAGTTGCGCCACGCAGCTATCTTGGGGCAAGGTGTACACCTTCTACTCGACCAAGACCATCTTCCTGATCGCGATCCTCATTTTTGAAGTCGGATCGGCCGTCTGTGGTGGCGCCCCTAACTCTGATGCCTTCATTGTCGGCCGTGCGATAGCCGGGATTGGATCAGCTGGCATATTTTCCGGCGCGACAGTGATAATCGCACAGATCGTGCCGCTGGCCAAAAGGCCCATGTATGTCGGGCTGATGGGGTCGACTTTTGGTATTTCCTCAATCATCGGACCTTTGATGGGTGGTGCGTTCACAGACAACGTGACATGGCGTTGGTGCTTCTATATCAACTTGCCCATCGGCGGTTTCACCATGGTCATCTTGTTCCTTTTCCTGGCCGTCCCCCACAAGCCCCAACCATGCACCTGGAAGCAACAAATCCTCCGCCTCGATCCCCTGGGCAGTGTGCTATTCCTGCCCTCTGTCATCTGCTTCCTGCTCGCCCTGCAGTGGGGCGGTATAACCTATCCCTGGAGCAATGGGCGCATCATCGCGCTGTTCGTCATCTCAGGGACACTGATGATTGCCTTTGTCGGTGTGCAGATCCGGCTCAAGAAAGACGCAACAGTGCCGCCTCACATATTAAACCAGCGGAGCATCATCAGCGGAGTAGTATTTTCCCTGTGTGTCGGTGGAGGACTAATCTCTATGCTGTACACGCTCCCACTCTGGTTCCAAGGCGTGCGCGGCACATCAGCTGTGAAATCCGGCATCGACACAATTCCCATGGTGCTGGCGCTCGTTGTCGGAGCCATACTCTCCGGGTCAATCATCACCGCAACGGGATACTACGTCCCGTGGATGTTTATTGCGGCGGTGTTCATGTCGACGGGCGCAGGGTTGATGACAACCTTCAAGGTGGACACCAACCACTCCGCCTGGATTGGATACCAGGTGTTGTTTGGCATCGGTATCGGCACAGGAATGCAGCAGCCCTCCATGGCGGCGCAGACTATTCTCCCTATGGATGAGGTCGCCATTGGTGTCTCGCTGATGTTCTTCGCGCAGTCTCTCGGCGGAGCTGTCTTTATCGCTGTTGCTCAGTCGCTCTTCCAGAATTACCTCGGTGCAAACCTACCCCACATTCAGGGGATTGATGTGGCCAAGATTATGGCGGCTGGGGCGACAGGTCTGTCGAATGCTGTCCCTGCTACCAAGTTGAGCGAGGTTCTGGCGTTATACAATGATGGCCTCCAGCGGTCGTTCATTGTCGCCCTGGCGGTGTCCTGTCTGATGATCGTCCCCGCGCTGACGATGGAATGGAGGTCAATCAAAAAGGAGAAATCCGCTGCCACGGCTGCTTGAGAAGGAGTATTATTAAGTGAGTATAGTATATATTATGTAGATGTTAGCCCCTGAGGTAAGAGGTAGGAATATAATACTTTAATTATAAAGTCAAGATGATCCATGGATGCCCTCACCTTAATTTGACCTAGACATCCTTTGTGATTGGACGAAATTGACGACAGTGGCAATTTAGGCAAATTCCTGAGCGAATCAGAGCTGACAAACAGCTACATACCTTGTCTCAATAACCATATTTCCACAGTGTAATGAGCTTGAGAATGTAGCTAGTATGCTTCGAGTGTAAAGAGCAAAAATCAGAGGTGTCAGGAAAAGGGAAAGAACCAAGTTTTGCCGATCAAACCAACTTTTCCTCCACACAACACCCCGTCTGTTCAACACAGAGCAATGTCACTGGTGCAGCATGTTTCCGCTATTGACGGTATTGATCGCGAACTTGAACCAGACCTAGTCGATGACTGCGATTTCGTTCCCATTCGCCGGAAAATCAGCTACGATGTCATCCAGCCTCCGAGCGACGCGATCCCGGTCGCAGAAACGCGCCCTGGAACACCAGCGTACAAACATTCCACCACAAAGAGAATTGGTATGTCCTCTTCAGCCCAGTGTAAGACAAACAGCTAACAACTTTCAGCCCAGGTTGCTGTCACCGTGATCGCGTGTTGGAGTGCGTCGGGAATCGTTTTTGGCTTCGCGGCGCTCAAGCCTGTCCTCGTCGAGGAAGGCGTTTACCATGAACGTTGCACTCCTGCTGAAAAGGTTGAAGGGCTTGAGCTTTGCGCACAGCAGGACCTTGGGTATGCTTGTTGCACAGTGTTGCACAGACTCCCGGATATGTGCTTGCCACTAATCAAATGCTAGACTCAACCTGTTCTTCACTATTGCTTCGATAACAGCAAATGTCTCCGCTCTGCCAGTTGGGACAGTTTTGGATCGATGCGGATCACGTATCTGCTGGTTCATTGCTTGCCTGCTTCTTGCCATCGGCGCTGTCATCATGGCCTTTGCGTTCCATGAACCCGGCTTCGATGGCTACATCGCGGGGAACTTCTTCCTCGCTCTGGCTGGCACCTTTTTATTTGTCCCCTCGTTCCAAATTGCAAATGCGTTCCCTAAATATGCAGGTTCGATCGTCGCGCTGGTGACTGGTGCATTCGATGCCTCTGCTGCTGTGTTCCTCTTCTACCGGCTCGTCTATGAGAAATCGGGCAGATCCTTCACCCCGGACAAATTCTTTTTGGGCTATCTGATAGTCCCCGTATGTATTTTCATCGCGCTGGTGACGATCATGCCAGTGCGCGATTATGTCTCGACTCTAAACTTGCAGAGCAAGTTAGAAAAGGCCGAAGACGCTACACGCGACGTCCACGACTCCGACGATGAAATTGAGAGCACGTCGGAGCTAAACCGGGTGAGGAAACGTCGGGCGGAGCGGAGAAAGAAAAAGCTTCGCCAGATCGATGCGGTGCTTGGTGATAGAGATGAAAGGCAGATGCGTGCGGAACGAGAAGAAGATCGCCAGCAGACGAGTTGGGTGTGGGGTGTGTTGCATGGCCTGCCGGCACATAAACAGATGGCAACGCCGTGGTTTATCCTGATTACACTGATGACTGTTTTGCAAATGATTCGCATGAACTACTTTATTGCCACGATTCGCTCGCAGTATGAGTACATGCTCGAATCGATCGAGGAGGCAAATAAAATAGGTGCCTTTTTCGACGTCGCACTACCGGTCGGGGGCGTTCTCTTCACGCCGGTGATCGGCTTTCTGCTTGATCGCCTTAGCGTTCCAACGATGCTGGGGCTGATTGTGCTTTTCACTACGGTCATTGGTGTACTGAACTCCATCCCGGCAGTTTGGGCTGGTTATATGACCGTTTTGCTGTTTGTCTTGCTCCGGCCTCTCTATTACTCGGCCATGTCGTATGCTGCTTTTCCCCCCCTGCCAAATTCTACTTACTAATCCTTGGTTCTAGTGATTATACTACAAAAGTATTCGGCTTTGCCACATTTGGGCGTGTGTACGGTGCCATTATTTGCCTCTCCGGAATCGCAAACTTCTCTCAGTACGGGCTCGACGCATTGACGCATCATACGTTTGATGGAAACCCAATTCCAATCAATGTTGTCTTGGCAATCGCGGGATTCATTGTTGGAACATCACTCGTAATCTTTGTTTTCGTGTCTGTGAGGCAGCTGAGGGAGAAGGGTCGGGTGGATGAGGAAGAACGTGAGAGACTCCTTTTAGAAGAGGATGAAGAAGAGGACGAATACGAGGATGATGGAAGCTACCTTTAATCAGCTTAGCATTTTAGGATCGAACCGAGGTGTAAAAAAAGAATTTAATTGACGATAGTAAGGTCAATACTTTTTATCCACCGTCTATAATCAGGCTCCGTGTCTTTATAGCAACTTTATAAGGTGGATATCCATCCACCACGTGTGTCAAATGACAGATTCGTCTATAGTGGGCTGTATTAAGAACCAACCGCTTGCCACAGAACTTGGATATACCTAGGTTATCCATGCATGGTGATGATATCACCATACACGGCGCTATCTATCTGCCGGCAGAAGACCAGGATCATACTAGCATGACCAGGATTATATATACTTTTCTACATGGCAAGTTATACTTTCGGATTCTTCGAGCTTCGACGTATCAAGAGAGATGGAATATTAAGGTTCCTCATAACCAGGTGGCACTTCCTGACCCGCCGACGAGTACGAGATCAGCCTCGGAATATCCCCCTACTCAGCTTGAAATTTTAGAAACAAGTCAGGAGGGGCCCGGTTGATTTTCCCGCTAACAATGACAAAGTACGTGAATCAAAAGTCAAGAAACCCTAACCAAGAAACATTGGCAACAAACCACATACAGAACAGATCATCTCGAGTCCCACAAGTGACATCTCTGCCCAACAATCAGACTAAAGCACCAAACGAAAGAGGGGATCAAAGTGCATCACGTAGTCAACGCACCATTTGCCAAGTTGCCAAGTACCTTCCCCCGCATTTCTTCCCCATCGCCCCCGGATTATCTCCCAAAGCAGCCGCCACCGATGCTAACCAGCTCAATGCGTAAGAGATAACTCGTACAGTTTGTCCACAGTGGGGTGATTACCCCCTCATTTGTTTTTCGGACGATATTGCGGCGTATTCCCTTGCTATACGACAATTGTGCTCGTCCCGAGGCACTTGGCCACTTTCTGTCGGCTATTGCGATCTCGATTGTCTTGTTTCTTGGGGAATTTCCTGGGCAGCTTGAAGCGGGTTGCAATAAGCGAGCGGCGATCTTGAATGGCTGGTTTAGGAATGGTTGGTTTATTGTGCGGTGTGTTTCTACTTGGATATATAAATTCTTGATCCTTGTCGTTCTGTAAGATAAGGCCGCAGATTTGTCTTCTATTTCTGGCCCAAGACAATTGAATTCTTTTTTCTTGCTGTCCCCTGCATCTTATCTTTCTATTAAATATCCCAATTCAATTCAGAATCAGCATGGGGACAATGACTCCCATCGATGAGAAACTACCTGCTGATCACCGCATCGAGGACATCGTGGGGAAGAGCCTTCCCAGCGACGATGACGATGAGTTCACACCGCAGGAGCAGAAGAAGATTATTCGGAGAATTGATCTGCGTCTGGTGACAATGACTGGATTAGCTTATTGCATCTCGCTCATGGACCGGACGAATTTGAGCATGGCCGCCGTTGCAGGGTAAGACTACAATCATCGAGGAGACCGTGTTCAAAAATGGCTGACCCATGGAAAGATTGAAAAAGGAATTGCGATTGGACATAGGGGAGCGCTATGTATGTTCAAACAAACGAGTTCCATTTCTCGGAGGGCGAAGGGCTAACTTCTGAATAGTCCATTGTCGTCCTGATGTTCTTTGTGCCCTATATTCTCTTCCAACCACCGATGACCGTCATCATTCGAAAAGTTGGCCCAACTTACTTCCTGGGCTCGATTATTCTATGCTGGGCGGGGATCATGATTGTAAGGGATTTCTGCCTTCTCGACGTCAAGACTTTGGGTTGCTGACCGACGCAGGGGATGGGATTCGTCCAGGACTGGGGCGCGTTGGTTGGAACGCGTGTGCTTTTGGGTGTGTTGGAAGCTGGTTACTTTCCTGGCTGCGTCTACTTGCTGTCTTGCTGGTATACCCGATGTAAGATAAATGGCCGAAAGGAATATCTCCGAGCGACTGCACAGTACTGACTCTTCAAAGATGACGTCCAAAAACGATTCTCCGTTTTCTATCTCATTGGATGTGTTGCTTCTGCGTTGGCGGGTATCCTTGCGTTTGGTCTGATGCAATTGAACGGAAAGCAAGGCCTGACCGGCTGGAGATGGATTTTCATCCTTGAGGGAGTGGTATGGAGAGTTGGGTCAACCCAAAAAAAAAACCAAGCTAACAAAAAATATAGATCACCGGCTGTATTGGCATCCTATGCTTTTTCTTCCTCGTCGATTTCCCCGACCGCGCACACAAGTCCTGGAACTTCCTAAACGAGAGGGAATGCGCATTCATCATCCGTCGCATCAATAAGGACAGAAACGATGGCGATATGGAGGCCTTCTCTCTCAAAAAGTTCCTCAAACCGGCAGTGGATCTTAAGATCTGGGGGTTTGCCATGATCTTCTTGTGCGTTCCCTTTTCAAGCAGACCCGATTACTGCTAACCGCATCCCAGCTGTCTCACTACCGTCACTTACGCCATCGCATATTTCCTGCCCATAATCCTCATGTCCGGGATGGGATACGGCGTCGGCCAAGCCCAATGCCTTGTCGCGCCGCCTTACGGGTTCGCAGGAATCGTCATGTACGCCACGGCCTGGGTTGGCGACAAGTACCACATGCGCGCCCCGATTCTCATTTTCAACGCCTTGCTCGCGATAATTGGCCTGCCGTTAATGGGCTTCGCTAAGAGCGATGCCGTCCGCTACTTCGGCGTGTTCTTCACTGTTGCCGGTGCCAATGCTAATATCCCAGCCTGCATGGCATACCAGGCGAACAATGTGCGCGGACAGTGGACACGTGCTTTCTCCAGTGCTACACTGGTGGGCTTTGGAGGCCTCGGTGGTATCGTGAGTAGCTTGGTGTTTCGGGAACAGGACGCACCCGAGTACCGACCCGGAATGTATGCCGCTATTGGGTACGTTGTCCCTCCTGTCTCAGATTATTTTCGTGTACTGACTTTGTTTCACCAGGTGTAACATTCTCATCGTCCTGCTAGTCCTGGGATTGAGTCTGTGGTTCCGGATCTGTAATAAGCAGGCGGACCGGGGAAAGCGGGTCATTGAGGGTGATGCAGCCTTCCGATATACGATTTGAGCCCGAAGAAATATTCTGTCCTAGGCGGGATTGAGATAGTAATGAAAGCAGGCCTTTTTTATTTTTAGTATGTCGTATTCTCCCAAACGACCATAAACCGAAGCTCAAGGAAAGCTATGAGACCATCGGAGCTTCCCCTTCGGTGGGGAATTCGTGGAGTAACGTAGATCAATGGCCCGTGACTTCCCCGACGGGAAACCGGCTAGTTGCTCCGAGCAGAAGGCGGTCAGTGGTCAAGCTGGGGCCAGTGGCAAATAGTGGCAGCTGCGATTGGTCAGATAAGAAATGTTCTTATAATTTCTTATCGCCGCTGTACGTTTCCCGACAGGTTCTCCGTCATCGGACGATCGGACAGGGAAAGGAAAGAGGCGTGGGCAATAAATATTAATTTCTGGAGCTGTGGCTCTTTTTGTCTTCTTCTTCATCCTCCTAACTCATTGATTCACTGATTTACTTGTGGATGTGTTGAGTGCTTTCCCTAAAGCCCTCATTATCCTCCGGTCTCAGTATGGCGGCATCACTATTCGCCCTCCGCGGCGGCCGCCAGCTTGCTCTGCGGTCGCGTGTTCGTGTGCCTTCAATTGCCCGATCTTCATTGTCACCATTGAACACTCGGAGACCATTGACTACTTCTCAGCCTGTGCCTCGTCGTGCTGTTCATACTAGCTCCGTCTCCGACAATGGAGAGATCCACCCCAAGGATATCTTCCAGCCTCTCGATACCTTCCCTCGCCGCCACATTGGCCCCTCCCCGGACGCCGCGGCAGAGATGCTCGCCGTGCTCGACCCGCCGGTGGGATCCTTGGATGAATTCGTGAAGCAGGTCCTGCCCGCAGACATTCTCTCCACGAAGGACCTCAAGGTCTCCGAGCCCCATGCCGATATCAGCCTGTACCGCTCCAGTGAGCTGGGAGGTTTGGGAGAAACCGATATGCTCAAGCTGCTGGACACCTACCGGAAGCAGATTGATATCTCCGGCAAGACTTATATTGGAACCGGCTACTACCCCACCATTGTGCCTCCGGTTATCCAGCGCAATGTTCTCGAGAACCCTGCCTGGTACACTAGCTACACACCCTACCAGCCCGAGATCAGCCAGGGCCGTTTGGAGTCTCTGCTGAACTTCCAGACCCTGACTGCTGATCTGACTGGTATGGCCTTTGCCAATGCCTCCGTTTTGGACGAAGCCACCGCCGCTGCCGAGGCTATGACCATGTCCTACGCCACAATGCCCACTTCCAAGCAGAAGAAGGCCGAGAAGTCCTTCGTTGTGTCTCACCTCTGCCACCCTCAGACTATTGCAGTGATGAAGTCCCGCGCCGATGGATTCGGAATCAACCTCGTGATTGGAGACATCTTGGCCGATGACTTCAAGATCGTCAAGGACCAGAAGGACCACTTGATTGGTGTACTTGCCCAGTACCCCGATACCGAGGGAGGTATCTACGACTTCCAGGCTCTGGGTGACTCTATCCACGGCCAGGGTGGTACATTCTGTGTAGCCACTGACCTGCTGGCTTTGACCGTTCTGAAGGCCCCCGGCGAGTTTGGTGCTGATATTGCGTTCGGAAGTGCCCAGCGTCTGGGTGTTCCCATGGGTTTTGGTGGCCCCCACGCCTCATTCTTCGCCTGTGCTGACAAGTACAAGCGCAAGGTGCCAGGTCGTGTCGTTGGTGTATCCAAGGACCGCCTTGGTAACCGGGCTCTGCGCCTGGCTCTGCAGACTCGCGAGCAACACATTCGCCGCGAGAAGGCTACCAGCAACATTTGCACTGCTCAGGCTTTGCTTGCTAACATGACTGCCATGTATGCTATCTACCACGGCCCTGCTGGCCTCAAGGCCATTGCCCAGCGTATCATGTCCATGACGTCATTGCTGCGCGAGAAGCTTGTCAGCTTGGGCTATGATGTCCCTGTCCGCTCTAACAGCGCTGACGGTGGCGTTGTGTTTGACACTTTGACCATTGAACTGCCCAGTGCTGCGGAAGCTGATGCCATTATGGCCGAGGCCCGCGCTGCCTCTGTCTACCTCCGCCGTCTGGGTGGAAACAAGGTTGGTCTCTCTCTTGACGAGACTGTTGGCCGGGATGAGGTGAAGGGCATTTTGAATGTCTTTGCCGCTCACAAGTCTGCCTCTCCCGTCGAGGTTGATGGTACTCTTGGTCTCGCCACTATTCCCGCCAGCCTTGAGCGTACCTCCTCTTACCTGACCCACCCAGTCTTCAACACCTACCACTCCGAGACTGAGATGCTCCGGTACATCCACCACCTCGAATCGAAGGATCTTTCCCTGGCCCACTCCATGATTCCCCTCGGATCTTGCACCATGAAGCTCAACGCTACCACGGAAATGATTCCCATCTCTTGGCCCGAGTTCTCCCAGATTCACCCCTTCATGCCTGCCGAGCAAGCCAAGGGCTACACAAAGATGATTGACGATCTGGAGCGCCAGCTAGCTGATATCACCGGTATGGCTGAGGTTACTGTGCAGCCCAACTCGGGTGCCCAGGGTGAGTTCGCCGGTCTTCGTGTTGTCAAGAAGTACTTTGAGGCCAAGGGTGATGCCAAGCGCAACGTGTGCTTGATCCCTGTCTCTGCTCACGGTACCAACCCCGCTAGTGCTGCCATGGCTGGTATGCGCGTTGTGAGCATCAAGTGTGACACCAAGACCGGTAACCTCGATCTGGAGGACCTGAAGGCCAAGTGCGAGAAGCACAAGGACGAGTTGGCTGCGTTCATGATCACCTACCCCAGCACCTTCGGTGTGTTCGAGCCCGGTGCCAAGGAGGCCTGTCGCCTGGTGCACGAGCACGGCGGCCAGGTCTACATGGACGGTGCCAACATGAACGCCCAGATCGGTCTCTGCTCGCCCGGTGAGATTGGCGCCGATGTGTGCCACTTGAACCTCCACAAGACCTTCTGTATTCCCCACGGTGGCGGTGGCCCCGGCGTGGGACCCATTGGTGTCGGCGAGCACCTGCGTCCCTTCCTGCCCTCGCACCCAATCAGCGAGTACCTGCAGTCCAAGCGTGGCGACACCTTCTCCCCTCCCATCTCCGCTGCTCCCTGGGGCAGTGCCAGCATCTTGCCCATCACCTTCAACTACATCAACATGATGGGCGACCGCGGTCTGACCCATGCCACCAAGATCACCCTCCTCAACGCAAACTACATCCTCTCCCGCCTGAAGCCCTACTACTCGATCCTATATACCAACGAGCACGGCCGCTGCGCACACGAGTTCATTCTTGACGTGCGCCCCTTCAAGGAGACCTCTGGTGTCGAGGCCATTGATATCGCCAAGCGTCTCCAGGATTACGGCTTCCACGCCCCGACCATGTCCTGGCCCGTCTCCAACACCCTTATGATCGAGCCCACCGAGTCCGAGAGTAAGGCTGAACTGGACCGCTTCTGCGATGCCTTGATCTCCATCCGCCAGGAGATCAGCGAGGTCGAGTCTGGTGCCCAGCCTCGCGAGGGCAACGTGCTGAAGATGTCCCCACACACTCAGCGCGACCTGCTCATTACCGAGTGGGACCGCCCTTACACCCGTGAGAAGGCTGCTTACCCGTTGCCTTTGCTTTTGGAGAAGAAGTTCTGGCCGACAGTGACTCGTGTCGATGATGCCTTTGGTGACCAGAACTTGTTCTGCACTTGCGGGCCTGTCGAGGATACTGATTAGACAGATCTTGAAAGATCTATGATACCCATGCCGCGCTGATTGCTTTTTTTTATATATGGGGGCTCGTTCTGATGCTTCCTTTTCTCTGTGTATACATTCAACATTTTTTTTATATTGACGGTAACAAAGACTACCTACAGACTACATTCTTGTGAGCGCTGGATCGATTCAACATAATCATCCGGCATCCATGGATACCAAGAACAAAACAATTCAAAGAATAAAAAATATTCTAGACATTCAATTCGATCCAGTGTAAGAAAATCTTTGAAACAATAAGAAGAGTAACAAATCACGACATTCACTAGCTTTATATGTAAACTTGAGGCTTTTGACGGCCTTATCGGTGCTTTGTGACCATACAGTACTGCCCGTCCGTAAATTACACCATCAAAAAAAAACTCACCCGCTCCAAATACCGTATCCTCACCGTATTGCTATCGGAGACGGCCGACCCCCGCCATCCCCAATACTCGCCGTGGCCCTAATCATCCTCGCAACCTACAATCAAGCCTTGAATGCCGCAAAGGAAGCTGAAGAACATTCGAATCAAGCAGGGACAACATCGAAATTCTCCACATCTTGGGTCCACCGTTTCCGGACACCTATCTCAGCCGCTCGCTTGGCAAGAAGTAACCAGAAGACAGATATAAACGTGTGCCTGACCCTCTTTTTTCGCCTTGTTCGTTTCGACTTGGTCTTTCGGTCTTTTTATTTCCACTGTAGAGACTGATCTGCATTTTCATCGATAATATACATCGGTATTCGTGGTCTAGTCCTTTTGGAGAGCGCCATCTGTCCGCAACTTGATCATATCTACGCCAATAATTGGGCCTTTTAAATATCCCGCCAATATGGGATCGCAAACGGACTATGGTTTTACCGTCTATCGTGGCACATTCATTCAAACGGTTCTTTCAGACTCTAGCTCCAAGCCTGAATTGTCTCGCAACCAAGGCGCATTATGGGTCTCTGCTGCTGATGGCCGCATTCAAGGTTGGGACTGGCACGGCAGTGATGAGAATCAGTTCATCGAATTCATGAATAGGAATGGTTGGGTTAATATCGACGCCATTGAGACCCGGGGCCATGATTCGAAGGTCAGAGTGAAGATTGTCACCGCGAGTGAGGAGCAAAATGAGTTCTTCTTCCCCGGATTTATTGGTATGCATCAAATCCAACTTCCTAAACCCTAATCCGGACGGCCAAATCTTAATATTAACTACATCTACCCAGACACCCACATCCATGCCCCACAATACCCCAACGCGGGCCTCTTCGGCTCATCAACACTCCTAGACTGGCTAGAGACCTACACATTCCCAGTAGAGTCCCGGTTCGGGTCACCACCGGACCCAAAAACAGGCCACCAAACCAAAACCGACCCTAAAGACACACCCCTCCTAGCGCAGCAAATCTACGACCAAGTAATCTCCCGCACTCTCTCCCACGGCACAACCTGCGCCTCCTACTACGCAACCAACCACGTCGCCGCCACAAACGCCCTCTCATCGCTCTGCCACACGCGCGGCCAACGCGCCTTCATCGGCCGCGCCTGCATGGACAACCCAGACTTCTGCGTAGACTACTACCGCGACTTCAGCGCCGACGACTCCATCGTCGCAACCCGCCAGACAATCGAGCACATCCACACCCTAGACCCAGAAGGCAAGCTCGTGAAGCCGATCGTCACACCGCGCTTCGCACCCTCATGCACGCGCCCCGCACTACAGGGCCTCGGCGAGCTGGCAGCGAGCTATTCGCCCCCGCTGCACATCCAGACGCACATCTCAGAGAACATCAACGAGCTCGCGCTCGTCAAAGAGCTCTTCCCGGAGGCGGGCAGCTACGCCGCCGTCTACGATAAGTACAACCTGCTCACGCCGCGCACGATTCTCGCGCATGCGGTGCATCTCTCGGCCGATGAGCGGTCTCTGATCCGCGCGCGCGAAGCGAAGGTCTCGCACTGTCCGGCGTCAAATTCGGCGCTGGGGTCTGGGATTTGTCCTGTTAGGACGTTGCTTGATGAGGGGATTACGGTTGGGCTGGGGACGGATGTTAGTGGTGGGTATAGTCCTAGTATTCTTGAGGCGGCGCGCCAGGCTTGTCTTGCTTCGCGGTTGCTGGGTCAATCGGCTGCGTGGCAAAGGGATCATCCTCAGGGTGATGGCTCTGATGGACGGGAGAAATTGTCTGTTTCAGAGAGTCTTTACCTTGCTACGCGTGGTGGCGCGGCGGTTGTTGATATGGCGAGCGATGTTGGTGGGTTTGATAGGGGGATGTTGTGGGATGTACAGCTGATTCGGCTTGGTGGGGTTAAGCTGGTGGAGGCGAGTCCGCTGGATGTTGTTTCTGATGGTAGTTCAGATCTTGTGAAGGCTGGTCCTGTGGGAAATGTTGATCTGTTTGGGACGGAGAATTGGGAGGAGAAGATTCAGAAGTGGGTTTGGAGTGGCGATGATCGGAATGTGAAGGCTGTCTGGGTTGGGGGAAGGTTGGTCCATTCAAGGGTTTGAGCATTGTCTATGTGTTTTTCTTAGATCTTTTTCTACATATGATATCTAGTCTATATTATGACATCTTCTGTGATTTACCTTCAAAAGGCGTTATTACAACAGGAAATTAAGTGATATTGGAAGATACGGCGATTCGCATTCTTGTTACTTAGAGAAACTTCCCCTATGCTCCTCTGTGCGTTCCAAAACTCAATCGTTTGTCCCAATTATTTACTGGAAGAGCTCCACGCAATCGAAGATCTATTGAGACAGGTAAGCTTACATCGGAAAGACCAGATAACCAGAAAGATACTCACAAAGTTCGGGCTCAGGTAAGTGTCTCCAGAGCTACCAGAAGCAACGCTGATGGTGATCTAGGCCGGATTAGCATCATATCATCTGACTGGGCTCAAAAGTCCTTACAGTGTTAGTTCCAGCGACGATAGTTCCAGCCGGTATCGAAACGTCGTAAACCTCGCCAAACCCTCTATACGCACCGCGAGTGACGCCACGGGAGTTGAGGTTAGTCGGGGCAGCCGGGGTGGCGCCGGAATAGTTGTTGAACTGTGTAAAAGTTAGATACATGCTAAGAGTATAGAAAGTGAATGTGCTTGAACATACCACAACCTGGGGCCGGCCAGACGCAAAGGAGAGGGTTGTGCCAATTCTCAGCGTCGCAGCTCCGGTCTGCGAAGATGATGCCGTGAATTTAATCGTCAAAGGTGAATTGACCGATTTGAAGAGGGCCATGGGGAAAGAAGAGACTTGAGAGCTGCCGACTGTGTAGGTGGTCGGGGACCAGGAAGACATGCGGGTATCGGAGGGATGCATACGGAGCTGGTTGGCCGCGTTGAGGAAGCCGTTCGGTCTATGGGCAGTCAATATCGGAACAATTATGTGGGTTAAAATCAATGAACTTACGTTCCATCCCAGTCTCCAATCTTGAAGACTGTCGTTCCGGTCTTCACAGACCCGGAGATACTCTTCGATGTGGTTGATCCGGCAGTAACAGTCACTGACGAGGTGGCAACGACATATTCGCCCTGGTAGTATACCATGGTGTAAGTGCCGGGCTTCATAGCAGGGGAGGTGAAAGCTCCGGAAGACGAAGTGTAGGTCCAGTACTGTGCGGCAGAGTTATACCTGTCTTGGAGTTAGATATGTACTCATCCAGGTATTGCATCGGACCTACCAGTGAACCACCCATTTGAAAGTCGAGTCAGCCCCGGTTGCAGTACCCGTAACATAGCCTCTCGCAGATGTGGCGACGTATCCCTTGATACTGAGATCGGCAAAGAACGATGTGTCAAGGGTGGAACTGGGGGTACCGCTTCGGCTGAAGACCATCGAGTATGGGCCGTGCAGGCCCTGGCGGTAGGTCTCGGTCTGAACGTGTCCGGAGTTCTGTATAGAGTAAGAGGCAGTTACTGATTGAGCGACAGATTCCACATACCATGTACCAGTATAGGCCAGTATAAGAACCAACATTGTTGGTGTTGATATCACTGGTGCATGTTAGTCTGGATCAAGTCATGCTGTATGAGGAGCTTACCGATGGAAAGGTCCGCCAGCAGATGTCTCATATTGATTTAAGATCATGCAGACACGGTGCGCGCTTCCAGAGACACCTGTTTGTGTTAAATCGACTCGCATCGGCCAGGGTAGAGGTATTCTTACAGTGGATGTGGTCATCAATAAACCGTTCGCTCGAGTAGAACTTGCTTCGCGTTTGTCCACTAACCAAGAACTAATATGTGTCAGCTGTTTGTATTGAAAAAAAGCTTCAGAAAAAAACGTACCACATCCTCTCCCTCGACGACAGTGCCACCTGCAATATTAGAGACAACACCGAATGGCTCTTCATTCGGCAGCAGGGCTGAATTCAGGCGCGCGATATATCGAAGTTCTCCAATTGTAGGTTCTGATTATAATGAGTATAAAAAACACATTTGCGCACGAACAACACTAACCTGCGGTTGTGTATGTCGCCATGTGGATGGTCGAATCTCCGTTGTGGACAACATAGTAGTGTGTCAAGGTGGATGTTTCGCAGGTCACCTTGATGTAGTCGCCTATACTGATCAGAATATTTTCCAACAGACGTCTTGTTTCTCAACTCACCACTCTGCGTGGCAGACACAGTTGCGCTACCAAGACCCGATCCGATATGAGATCCAGTCGACTGGTATTGAAGCTCGGATCCATAGTAATTGATCGAAGTAATGTCACAGTTTGTCCGGCTGACGGTAAATTTAAGCGGGTTTGTAGAGCCAGCATCAATCACATAGGAAGCAGTGCTAGTAGTGATTCCGAAGGCCGCGGATGCCTGCTTAGCCCAAAGTGCTAGCGAAGCAATGGCCAAGGACTTGAAAAACATCATGTCCAACGTGTATTGTAGAGAGCCTTCTCGTGTCCCACAAGAAACTATCAAGGGCAGACAAGCAGCATATTATAGTAGGAGAGCACTTTTGTTTCTTCATGTTGAAACGCTCCATGTTGGAAGGTGGAGATTCGGCAGCGAACTGAAGCTCCGTTCCTGCATGAATTTGCCCATAGTTCCACCAATGCGCGACGTTTCTGGCTCCTTGGCAGCTGGATAATTGCCATTCTAGGAACGGACAATCTGCAGACTCGAGACTAAGGCCGGTTGTTAAAAATAAGCACAAGGCCAGGGTGCATGCAGCTCCTTGCCAAGACCCCCTGTAACTCCGTGTGGGGTGACGATTGTTTCAATCCCACGGAGCGTCTGCAGTAGTGGAGGAATCCGATATGTACTTGAAACATCTTGATGCTGTGATGGATCCCGCCTTTATTTGATGGAAAAGAATCATTCCGCTTTCCGAAGTGCGGACTACTTTCGCCGAAAGGCCGAGACAGCATTGGGGACGTGGATGTTATCTTGGAGGTAATTGGCGCATTCATCACTCAATACTTCCTAATGGAAAAAATAAGGAGGTGACTGGATATGCACTCAACCGTTTCAAAATGACTATTCCGTACAGGTCATGAGGTTCCTGAGAGTTCAAGATGATTAGTGGCCCTCTGCCAAGAGGAAGTTGATGCCTTCATGTTTACCTAAGCACCTTTCTCGGGCAACCACCCTCTCTCGCGCTTTGCGGTCTACGGAGTATATAATTATTTTTGGCCTTTGGCGTTTCTCTTTCCTTCTACGAACTGGGAAAAGTATGGGATCGATCAAGAAGATATGTAAACTGTGATATCACGAAAGGATCATGGATAGCGTACTACACAGAATTATCACCGTTAAAGAATGATATTGAAATGGCTCCCAGCCATCGTACACATAGTCAACGAAGAAAGAACGTGAGATCCCGAGACATTGAGTCATACAAACAGATTGTTCCAAAATAGGAGTATTGGAAGGCACGAATAACAGAAAATTCACAATCCAGCGGAGCAAGTACCAAGGCAGAGGGTCGAGCCAGGTCAAACACGCTCTGAAGCACGGCTAGTAGTCGAGTAAGTTTATGTTCTAAGATGAAACTGTCGGGAAAGGATCTACGTACCTTTTCACAAACATGTCTGCTCTGATGGGCAGATCAGCCCTACCAGAAATCCCCACACTCGGTGCCCGGCACAATAGGTTTGTTGTTGCGACCTCCCCCTTGTGGTAGACATGGAAGACTATCAGGCGAGGCGTCTGGAATTGCGGCGGCCAAAACCATGCTGCATAAGGCGAGGATACTACCAAGTTGGAAGTACTTCATCTTGTATCGAAGTAAAGTAGGCTGATGTGGCGTGGCCGTTTCAGTACAGCAGTTCGTCTCTTTATTTATATTCGTAATGAAGGCAAGATTGGCGACACGTCATAAATAAGCATAAGGATGTTTCTTTAAAAGGTTTCTTATTCAGACGGGGAGGATTGTCTATTGTGTCACTTTTACAGGTCGAGATCAGCGTTCTGTGAACCCCGATCTCCACGAGGACGTGGAGTTGATTGGATAAGAAATCCCAAATATGTCCTACGCTGTGTTAACAAAGAACAATATCCCCTCGGTGAGCGAAAATCCGCTTGGCAGCTGTTACGCTTCTCAACACCTTCCTGCCCAAGATGGGGCTCAATAGACATCGCCAGGTCATGTTTATATCTGTCAACATCCTTTGTACTTGCCCGGCTTCCCCTTCGAGTCATGATCGCCCGGGTTTACTATCGTGGTTAATACTAACTTTCATTTCTTTATGATTAGGCAGTTGACAGATATTCATTGAGATTTTTAGATAATATATGCTTTCAAGTGTATACACTGTACAAAAATAGCCGCCCGCTTATGCGACCTTGTCATATCCTCAGTATTTCTTTTTGTTTGTCTTTCTGGAATACAAATTTGGTTGACGTAGCCTTACTGCCCAAGGCAGGATGGGACTTCCTGGCCATTAGCTCAATTCAACATATGGCTTCTTCTCATTTTCCTTCCCTTTCAGACTAGAGTGGAGGGGGTAAGTTTGCGTGCCAAATTCGAATCGGTGTCAATTGTCGGTGGAGTTGATTATTAGGCCATTAGGAACGAGTAAGAACAAAAAAACAGTTAAATACTTAGATGCTCACAGCCCCAAAATTCTCCGCATACCAATGTTCTCAATGACATAACCTCCTCCCAGTCTGAATACCCCCGGACCCTCCAATTTTGCTTCATAGCGTCCCATCGCCATTTCCGTCAAGAACGACCCAAGCTGTTCCGTTGGAGAATGCATCGACTTCATAAAGCACCGAATACCCGGGCCAAGCAACGCTACTCCAAGATTTGCAACAACTCCAGCCGTTGCACCAGATGGAATATATGGTTTGATGGCATCGTGCGTCGCCGGATCAACGAATGCAGGCCTCACGCTATCGACCCGAAAGGTCGGATTTTGCTCGGACAGCGTTCCAAGCAGCGCTTCTGTCTCGCCCTTTACTCTCGCAAATATCGGCGAGAATCGCCCAGGAGTCTGGGTGGCTCCTTCGCCAGATACATGGATGAATCGGAAGGGATGATTTGATGGCTTGATTGTGGAAAACGCATTGGCAGCCGCCAGGGTATAATCCTTGGTTATCTTGACGTATTGTCTAGTGATTATTAGTTCTGATATCCACGTAGGAGTGGGATCTCTCGTACTCTTTGGTGACCTTAGTCTGGCTTATCCCTAGGGCCCAAACACATCCATCCGCATCTTTCAATTGGTTGAGCAGCTCTGGCTTGTATGATTCAAAGTCTGTGTGGGTGATGACATGTACTCGTGGATCTTTTGCGTCTTCTGCCATTCGCACGGGGCTTCGGCTCAGGATTGAGATCTTGGACACTGCTGCGTTTTTGAGCATGGCGTCGAGCACTGAGGACCCAACCAGCCCGGTGGCCCCTGTGAGGATAAGATGCATTTTGGTAATTGATGTAATTGATGTACGTGAGGTCAAAAGAGAGACTAGTTATGGGAGAGCAATGCCGATTATATACCTCTTTATTTAGTCCGTTCCGAATGCTTAAATCCGCGAAAGAAGTAGTTAAGGGTGATGCTGACAATATGCTAACTACATCCGGTTAGTACACAGGGGTGCTTTGAGTGTTCATTGGTTGGATTTAACAATTGCCCACACTACTCCGTACCTTAACCCCATTTGGATGACGAGACGGGTTTACTGTTGTTATCACTTCAGTAACAGTTTGACATTATCCCCGAACATCAGATAGCATGCCGCTATGCTGATGCTTTCCACTTGCTTGCCTTGCCATCTTGGGGTATGTACTGGAACCGGGCGGGTCCAGCTCTCTTTCATGGAGCGTGAGAGAAGGAATTTAGTCGTGCCAGGGCATAGTTCATAATTCGCGTTGTGATATTTTGGGGATGACTCAATGAAAAGGCAAAAGAAATTAACACACGAGGAAGGAAGCAAAATGGAGAGGTATTGCCGTGGTAGACCGCTTAGCGGTGGCTGGGAGAAAGTTTATATTGCTTTTTCTGAGGCGAATGTTGTGATTCCCTGGGGATATCCCCAGATCTAGAACCTCGTTACTAGGCACATTTAATTCATTCAATACTCTACTATCTAGCATTTCAATGCAGTTTTCAGGATTGAAATATCTTCATCAATGGTAGTGGTAGTAGAAGCCATTTGAATTACTCCATGGTGATAGGGTGATCTCTGAATAGCTTCATACTGATGGATCCCGCGCATTAATTTACCATTATATAGTCAACTTACTTTCAACTAGATTAGGATTAGCGCATTGTCCTTTTAGTTCCTACTCCGTACCTACTAGGACATGTACAGAGAGAGAGAGAGAGAGAGAGCAGGTACAGAAGCGGGAGAGCCTGCCTTGGGGTATTTATGGGCTGAGTATTTCTTAGTCCTCGAATTGAGATCATCATGAACTTGTCCAAGAAGAAGTAATATTTAACGAGCGACCAGATGCTTTCGCTCTAGATTAATGGGGCGCAGTTATTTTCCCTATACGAGAAGATCGGACAGGCTACACATCCAATGAGCAGCAAACACCCAAAATTTGGGATTCTTACTACAACCGAGGATTCTTTCAGGCATATAAAAGATGCGCACCACCCCGGGATAGTCTACTATTTCGAAACTGACCACGTCATAGTTTACATATCCCAAAGCCATGTCCAACAAAGGAGAAACAAATGAAACCACCCATGAGTCACTCCATGAAGCCGCAAAAAGCGGCGATCTCGAAGCTGTCAAAATACTTCTCGACAACGGAGCAGACATCCACGTGGTAGACTCACTAGGCTCCTCACCTCTTCATGCTGCAGCAGAACAAGGCCACTGGGACATCGCCCGACTCCTCCTAGAAAAGAGCATGTCACCATGGGCCCGAGATGCCAACGATGCACTCCCTATCCACAACGCCGCAAAAGGCGGCCATCTAGAGACAGCCCGACTGCTCCTCGAATGCGACCGAGCGACAGGAAGTTCTTTCAACAAACGAGGCGAGACACCGTTACACTTTGCTGCTAAAAGTGGAAACACAGAACTAGTTCAGCTCCTAAGCTTCAACCCTCGACAAAATCCTCCGCCCTTGGCGAAACGGTCACCACGAAGTCTGCAAACTTCTCATACAATACGACGACGCCCATAAGCCGGGCTGGAGACTTCGCATGATTGGTGTGACGGCGCAAGTTAAAATGCAGGATTTTTGCCAGCATACGCCGCTTGTCTACGCTGTAAAAGAGGGACATGCTGATGTAGTCGATGTTTTTCTTCGCAGTAAGAGGGTCTCGCCCAAAGCGCGGGATGGATATAAGGAGCTCCTCTTCCATGAGGCTGTTGAGGCGGGGAAATGTGATGTTGTTCAGGTTTTTCTCGATAATGGCGTCCCCGTTGATCTGAAAGGAGGTGATGGGAAGAGGGCTCTTCATCTCGCTGCTGATACTCGCAATCTTGAGATGGCTCGTCTTCTGCTTGAGAACGGTGCTTCCACTAAGATTAAGGACTCCATTGGGTATACTGCTTCCCAGAGTAGCAGGGATGAGGAGGTGACTATGCTTATTCGGAATTGGGCTGATCAAGCTGCGAGTTCGGATCCTCAAGGTAAGAGAGTGTCACGCCCCCCGAAGGCGGCGGTGGCTGCACCCCCAGAATATGTTGCGTGAGCTTTTAGATGCCTTTTAGTCATTACAATTGCATTAATGTAGTCAAGTCGTTTTGTTTCTGATATCAAGCTTAGGAATATACTGTTTCGAACACTTCAAAATTGCACTAGGAGAGCAGCTAGAAAATCGTGAAGCGTCAATAGACTAACAGTAAACTACTTAACGAGCAGTATACCCGCCATCAACTGGAAGACAAACTCCAGTCATCCAGTTTGCGTCATCACTTGCCAACACAACAGCTATACGAGCAATATCCTCCGGTGTTCCAGGTCCTTTCAATGGATGGCGCCGTTTTAGGTCTTCCCAAGGAGTCAAGTTAGTAATTGTCTCTTTGAATATAGCTGTTTGGGTGTCTAAAGCTTTGTCAGTGAATATTCAGCTAATCCTCAAACCAATTGACTTACAGCCAGGACAAATAGCATTAATATGAATGTTATCAGAGGCATAATCCAGCGCCATCTGTCTCGTGAGATTACTCACAGCACCCTTTGATGCACAGTACGACGCTAGCTCAAGTATCAGCAACATTCAAATCCACAGACCGAGTTGAAACTCACGATTCTCCGGCCCACCAATCATACCCATAATTGAAGAAATGTTGATGATCCAGCCACGGTCCCCAGAAGAATGAGGTTCTTGAGCCAGCATTTGACTAAGAGCATATTTGCAACCCAGAAACACAGACTTAGTGTTAACACGCATCGTCATGTCCCAGGTTGTCTCGTCGGTCAGATGTAGCACAGCAGGCGTGCGTGCCTCAATGCTGATCCCAGCATTATTGACTAGACTAAATAAATCGTCAGAAGGATAATCGAAGACCTTCATTATCATTTCATACATGTCCACTCGTCCATATTCTTTCACAGCGACCTGGACCAAGTTCTCCATCTGCTTTGCATCCCCTACATCCGTCTTCACGAATTTCGCCTGACCACCATCCCTGACGATGAGATCGTGCGTTGTGATATTAGACTCCTCTTGGGATCGGGCAGTTGGTGTCAGGTCAGCGCAGACTACTTTTGCTCCCTCTTGGGCATAGCGAATAGCAATCGCTCGTCCTAGGCCGGATGAGGATCCGGTGACGATGGCTACTTTGTCTTGCAAGCGAGATGTTTGCGGCATGATTGGATACTTCCTTTGCAATAGGGTGGTTATTCAAGAAGTGGCTTTCGTGAGGGAAGGGACGCCGTGGCTTTATATGCTGGTAGGTGTCAGAGTTGGAAACTGGGCCGGAGTGCCCGTGGAGGTCACTTGCTCTTCATGTAACAAAGATGACATACTCCATTATTACAAATCGTCACACTCTGCAGGCCATAGTCGCAAATCGGGCCGAGTCCGATTTCCATAGCCGAGCAGCCTGGAGAAAGCGATGGGATGAGGGGCTTGATAAAGGTGGAAGGCGTGCCGAGGCCTCGTCAGACTTTCCTTTTTGGGACACACAGGTGTATTCTTTTCTTTCTCTTGCCACAGTGTACTCTAAGTGTAGCTTGATTTCAAATAATTATCCTGCGAATGATCAATTAAAAGTCTGGTACAGAGTAACGATGTATGTTTGCCTTTCTTGCCTATGGGTGGAATTGTGCCACCTTACACAGAGTTAGTAGAAGCATGTGTTAGACTCTGATTCGGAACAAATATTCTTCGAATATCGGGGTTTACATGATTACAAATTAGAGGTTACTAACTAGGTTATTAACTAGATGAGCTTGTATATTTTAGTACCTGTAGGTCTATAACCTCGTAGTTCTACCCCGCATAATCACCAGGATTCACCATACAATAACAACATCCATGATGCCTCCTCTTGCTTCCTTCGTATATCCGAGGAGACCTTTGTATCACATTATGACTAGTCTGGCCAGTGTGCTATATCATATTTTACTGTAGTAGATCTTGAACTGGCTCACCGCTAGTCTTAATTAGTATAGACAAGAGTATGCCTAAACTTCATGTATTTTTTGTAGTCTTTCTAGATGTCTTCTCTATGAACGGCAAAAAGCATAAACCGTAAGACTTTCCGTGTATAACCTTTCGATTGATGTGATATTGATGTATAATATACTCTAGCCGTAGTAGAGGGACGGGCCTGGTCCCGGAGTCCCGTGAAGAAGAAAAGCATGTGGAATAATCCTTCCATGTCAATCCAAGCCACAGTGAACTATGTTTGTTTCTACGTCGAGCGCAAAATTGGCTTTTCCAACTGGCGCAGACATTCCAGATCAACATTCCACAACCACCGTTTCCAGACGTGCTTCTAGGAAGATGCCGAGACAAGACAATATCATGAATTGAATCGGTAGAGAGACGGCGATGCTAATTAAACAATCACACACAACAATACTAAGGTCGGGATATTGTTCGGAGTCCGGTTGACCTGTTCGGAGTCCCATGGCCAATGATCGACCCCGATTTCAGACCTGGTTTCGGGATCCACCCCCAGTGACGGGGGTTTGGACGTCGCGTGGTGCTTGTTTTTAGATAAACCCAGATGCGGAAGTTTGTTGCTCGGTCTAAGACTAGAAAGTTAATTAATCGAATTCGATAAACACCACGGGTCTCAGGAGTTCTTCGCTGAATCTGTCGACGATCGCATTCTGCCGAATCGGGAAGTGATAGTCAACATGAGCTAGCAGGGAGGTACTACATCACTAATGCAATGCACAGTTATCACAGCGTTGCCAAGTGCTGATAGTAATCAAAACGAGGGGTAATTGGGGGAAATGGCTAATTAATTCGAGACATACACCTTATGCCGTGCTAAGTAGGTTACATCCAACTCAAACTCCCCAGAAATTAGACTCCGTGACCTCTCGCCCCGGGTCATACAGACGCAGCTACTGGCCGCACGCGATGGCCATGTCTCGGGTGTGCCTGATGGTGTCCACTCGTCGCTGATCCTATCGGGTGCCCCGAATGCGCAATCCACCTTTTCCAGATGACTGCGGCCTTGCGACAAACGCAACCATATTGTTCTTATCATATTGTTCTCATATAATGTCCTCTGATTCGCCTTGTCATTTCCGCGCTTGTAGCCTATCTCCATAATGCATATATATTCTGTAAGGGACCCGAGATAGTCGAAAGCTATTCTCTATCCGTGTGTCCTTGAGTTTTTGAGAGACTCAAAAGGCACTGTCAGTCAATATGCATTTTTCAACTATCGTTCGGGGGACTGCAGTCCTGGCTGCGCTGTCTGGTACAGCTGCAGGAATTGTCACATCGTCATTCAAGCGCGATCTGAAGCTTTCCGCTGAGCTGGGGGTCTATCCGGATATCCTACTCAGTCAGAAGACCTCGGTGTATGCTGTTTCAAATGCCCAGCTTGATGTGGTTGTTGAGGCAGAATATGTTTCGGTATGTGAGACTTTCCAATTTCTTGAAGACGGAGATGAATGCTGACGATGTGTAGCTCCCGATTGATCACAGTAACTCTTCGGTTGGTGATTACCAGAACCGCTATTGGGTATCCGAAGAGCATTACCAGGCAGGAGGACCGGTCTTCATATATGATGTTGGTGAAGGAAATGCCGAATCCTCGGCTCAAACCTTTCTGGGCAATTCGACCACGTTCTTCTATCAGTTGGTCAGGGATTTCGGTGGAATCGGTATTGTCTGGGAACACCGGTTTGTATCCTCTCCCCAGTGAAAGCTCGGACTCAATTAACACCAAGTAGATACTATGGGGATTCTCTTCCCTACAACGTCAGCCGGAACATGAGGCCTGAGCATCTCCAGTACCTCAACAATAAACAGGCTCTTGCAGACATCCCATTCTTTGCCGCCAACTTCACTCGCGAAAATTACAGCGATGTGAACCTAACTCCAAGCGCAACACCATGGGTCATGGTTGGAGGCTCGTACTCTGGCATGCGAGCTGCGTTCACCCGTCATTTGTACCCCGATACAATTTATGCTTCCTACGCTTCCTCCGCGCCCGTGGAAGCGCGGATCGACATGAGCGTCTATTTCGACCAGGTGTATGACGGCATGGTCGCATATGGACACTCTAACTGCACCAGCGACATCAAGGCTGCACTTGAATACATCGACGAGGAACTATCGAAGAGCAAATCGTCCGCGGCGGCCATCAAGCGAAAATTCTTCGGTGAAGGCGCCGAAAAAAACAGCAACGGCGATTTCACCGCCGCGCTCACGATCATCTACTACTATTACCAGTCTTATGGCATGGAAGGTGGTTTGGGCAGTCTGGGGTCATTCTGCGAGCACATGGAGACCGACCCGAAGACTAGCGCAGCGGCGCCCCCGCATGGATTCGCTCCCAGCCGGGGGAAGAAGTACGCCGCGGAGCGATATGCGTCATGGCCGCCTTTCACGCAGTTGGTCAACATGAATTTGAATACCAACTGCAGGAAGCTTGAAGCCAGCGATCCGCTCGTATGCGATCTTGGCGCACCATCCACCGACCCAGACACCATCAGCTGGACATGGCAGTACTGCACCGAATGGGGATTCTTCCAGACCGACAACTTCGGGCCTCACTCGTTGCTGTCCAGATACCAGACCCTCGATTATGCGCAGGAATACTGCGAACGATCATTCCCGGAGGCTGTCAAAAAGGGTCTGTTCCCTAAACACCCGCAGGTCGACGCTATCAACACGGAAACTGGCGGATGGACCATTCGTCCGTCCAACGTTTACTGGAGCGGCGGCCAGTTTGATCCGTGGCGCACTTTGTCGCCCCTCGCGGCCGGCACTCGGTTAGCCCCGCAAGGAGTGTCTCTCACGACCGAAATCCCCAAGTGCAATGTTGAGACGGCGGAAAATACGGTCTTTGGTTACATCATGCAGAATGCGGAACACTGCTTTGATTTCCGCACGACATTTGTGCCAGGGGCGATTTCCCGAGGATACTTCCGCACGGCGTTGAAAGAATGGCTCGGATGCTTCTAGGCCAAGGCTTGGTAATTGCTAAACCCTGGAAGGTTCAAGCGACGGTCTCTCCCCATTCGACACTATTCCCGTTTTGAATCAGCTTGCGATCTCCGCTTTTTTCACGTGGGAGGCCATGGACATATCATAAGAGTTAGATTTCCATTCACATATTTGACTGCTGTTTCTTCCAATTCATATACGTTAACGAAATGCTATTCCCTACATTTGCCCTGGTTGCCGTGCTTTCTGCCTTCTTGGTTGTGCGCTACTTCGTACAGCTACGTCATCACCGTAAACAATCCAGGGCTCTGCATTGCAAGCCTGCTCGTTCGGGCTCTTCGACTTTCTTCGGTATTCCGGACTTTCTTCGGTTGAGTAAGGCTGTTCGTGAGAAGCGCTGGATCGAGTATCTCTGTGACGAATATGCTGTCTATGGAAATACCTACAGACAGACATTCCTGTCTCAGAATATCATGACCACCATCGAGCCTGAAAATGTCAAAGCAATTCTCGCGACCCAATTCAAAGATTTCTCTCTCGGAACAAGACATCAACAATTCTACCCACTGCTAGGCGATGGCATCTTCACCCTCGATGGTGCCGGGTGGTCGCATGCGCGGGGATTGTTGCGCCCGCAGTTCACCAGGGACCAGGTAACTAAAACTTTGTCGGAGAATTTATGCACATGTGATTGACCGAGGTGACAGGTCGCCGATCTTTCCATGTTGGACGACCACATCTCCAACCTGATCGACCTGATCCCCAAGGATAGAAGCAGTTTCGACATCCAGCGTTTGTTTTTCCTGCTGACCCTGGACTCGGCAACGCACTTCCTGTTCGGGGAATCCGTGGGGTGCATGCTCCCCCCTTCTGGGAAGACAGGCGTGCTGGAAAAATGCGCCGTCGGTAGCGCGCAGGGTTTCGCCAACGCCTTCGGGACCGCGCAGGATTATCTCGCTGCGCGGAGTCGCGCCCAGGGAATTTATTGGGTTGTTAATCCCAAGGAATTCCGCGAGGCAAATCGCCAGGTGCACGAAGTTGTCGATCACTATGTTAATCTCGCTCTAGAGTCGAAACGGAACTCAGAAAAGGGAAATGCTGACGGTCGGTATATCTTCCTCGAAGCATTGGTCGCTGAGACGGATGACCCTAAAATTCTACGCGATAACATGCTCAATATTCTATTGGCTGGTCGCGATACTACAGCTAGTCTGCTGAGCTCGACCTTCTTCTATCTTTCCCGTCACACCAATGTGTGGAACCGGCTGCGTCATGAGATCGTGGACATTTTCGGAGACGCAAAGAATCCACGGTCGGAAATGACTCAGACGAAGCTGAAGGATATTCCTTATCTGCGATATGTGTTGAATGAAGGTGAGTTGATGCAGTATATGCTGTGTACTATCAATGGATATCCGACTAACTCCAACCCAGTCCTTCGTCTCCAGCCTCCTGTGCCTCTCAACTTCCGCATTGCGACAAAAGACACCTCCCTACCGGTCGGCGGTGGTACGGACCACCAATCCCCGGTTTATATCAAGAAGGGCACGATGGTTGCCTACAGTGTCTACGCTATGCACCGTCGGACGGATCTATGGGGTAAGGATGCGGCCTCCTTCCGGCCCGAGCGATGGGAAGAAAATGCTAAGCATGGCTGGGAATACCTGCCTTTCAATGGTGGGCCGCGTATCTGCCTTGGTCGTAAGTTGTGCATGTTCTCTTTCCCCGGAGAAACAAAATCGAAGATGGCTTTGAATGAGTGGCTAACAATCAATCTTTCAGAACAATACGCTCTCACTGAGGCAAGCTATACCGTCGTTCGTTTGATGCAGCACTTCGATACCCTCGAAAACGCGGACCCCCATCCTCGACAGGAGCCTGTCAAACTATCTAATCTTACGATGTCGCATGATTATGGCGTGCCTGTTCGTTTGTACTCTTCGGAGAAGATCTAGGTTCTTGGTTTTTCTTATGATTGAATGTATATACGGATCTTTCAACAAAATGATACCAGTCTTTCATGGCTTGAGGTTATGCTTAGCTGTGAGTCGTGTCCAAGCTTTGGCTCTACTTTCATCTACCTGAAATTTCGAGTCTCTTCCAGGCTCGCAAATATGTTCACAATTTGCCGTAAGCCCTTAGTGTGAGTGAGCGGGGCGCTCTTATTCATTCGGCGATCCTCGTGGACCCTTCTTTCTTGATGCAAGGGTTGAAGGGGAAAATCTCCATATTACGTCGTGATTGATACGCCACGCCTGCCGAGGCATTGTAGATCCTCCCAGTTTTCCAACCACCGAACCCATTGCAAGTGAGAATCCACAAGCTCTGGTCATTCACCAGACCGGCACACATCAGGCATCGAACGATTCTCAAGCGGCCTTCCGTCAACCAATTTGGGTACGACAGGGATTCCCGACAATACTTCACCTGGGAGCACCCGGCCATGGCTATTGCCTTTGTCTATTCCCTAGAACTAAAATCATAGACCCTGTGTTTTTTTGCATCGGGGAAATTGTCATCCGGGGTTTCCCCGCGGTTTTACCGTTGACTTGCGGAAACTGCCGACTCCATCCAAAGAGGAAATGAACGTCACAAGAAGATCCATATTGAAGGAGATCCTATTTCTATTGGCTCCTGTCTTCATCCCACCTCGGTCAATTTATCATGGCAAGATTAGACATATAAAGGTGTGTATATCCGGAAGTTCAACAGCTACCCAAGATCTACACTATGAAGCTATCAAATGCAATCACCGTGGGTTTAGCAAACCGGGCATTGGCTGTTGATTTCCATACCCCGATTGACTATAACTCGGCTCCGCCAAACCTTTCTACCCTGGCAAACGCATCTCTTTTCAAGACATGGAGACCCAGAGCCCATCTTCTCCCTCCATCTGGGAACATAGGCGACCCGTGCGGGCACTATACCGATCCCAAGACTGGTCTCTTCCACGTGGGTTGGCTTTACAGTGGGATTTCGGGAGCGACAACCGACGATCTCGTTACCTATAAAGACCTCAATCCCGATGGAGCCCCGTCAATTGTTGCAGGAGGAAAGAACGACCCTCTTTCTGTCTTCGATGGCTCGGTCATTCCAAGCGGTATAGACGGCATGCCAACTCTTCTGTATACCTCTGTATCATACCTCCCAATCCACTGGTCCATCCCCTACACCCGGGGAAGCGAGACACAATCCTTGGCCGTTTCCTATGACGGTGGTCACAACTTCACCAAGCTCAACCAAGGGCCCGTGATCCCTACGCCTCCGTTTGCTCTCAATGTCACCGCTTTCCGTGACCCCTACGTTTTCCAAAGCCCAATTCTGGACAAATCTGTCAATAGTACCCAAGGAACATGGTATGTCGCCATATCTGGCGGTGTCCACGGTGTCGGACCTTGTCAGTTCCTCTACCGTCAGAACGACGCAGATTTTCAATATTGGGAATATCTCGGGCAATGGTGGAAGGAGCCCCTTAATACCACTTGGGGAAAGGGTGACTGGGCCGGGGGTTGGGGCTTCAACTTTGAGGTTGGCAACGTCTTTAGTCTGAATGCAGAGGGGTATAGTGAAGACGGCGAGATATTCATAACCCTCGGTGCTGAGGGTTCGGGACTTCCCATCGTTCCTCAAGTCTCCTCTATTCGCGATATGCTGTGGGTGACCGGCAATGTCACAAATGACGGCTCTGTCACTTTCAAGCCAACCATGGCGGGTGTGCTTGACTGGGGCGTGTCGGCATATGCTGCTGCAGGCAAGATCTTGCCGGCCAGCTCTCAGGCATCCACAAAGAGCGGTGCCCCCGATCGGTTCATTTCCTATGTCTGGCTCACTGGAGATCTATTCGAGCAAGTGAAAGGATTCCCTACCGCTCAACAAAACTGGACCGGGGCCCTCTTACTGCCGCGAGAGCTGAATGTCCGCACTATCTCTAACGTGGTGGATAACGAACTTTCGCGTGAGTCCTTGACATCGTGGCGCGTGGCCCGCGAAGACTCTGGTCAGATCGACCTTGAAACAATGGGAATCTCAATTTCCAGGGAGACTTACAGCGCTCTCACATCCGGCTCATCTTTTGTCGAGTCTGGTAAAACGTTGTCGAATGCTGGAGCAGTGCCCTTCAATACCTCACCCTCAAGCAAGTTCTTCGTGCTGACAGCAAATATATCTTTCCCGACCTCTGCCCGTGACTCTGGCATCCAGGCTGGTTTCCAGGTTTTATCCTCTAGTCTTGAGTCTACAACTATCTACTACCAATTCTCCAACGAGTCCATCATCGTCGACCGCAGCAACACGAGTGCTGCGGCGAGAACAACTGCTGGGATCCTCAGTGATAACGAGGCGGGACGTCTGCGCCTCTTCGACGTGTTGCGAAATGGAAAAGAACAGGTTGAAACTTTGGAGCTCACTATCGTGGTGGATAATAGTGTACTGGAAGTATATGCCAATGGACGCTTTGCTCTAGGCACTTGGGCTCGGTAAGTCTCTCTTGTTTATGGAAGATTGGTCAAAAACTAACCGCATGAAGGTCTTGGTACGCCAACTCGACTAAAATTAACTTCTTCCATAACGGCGTGGGAGAAGCGACATTCGAAGATGTGACGGTCTTTGAAGGACTGTATGATGCCTGGCCACAAAGGAAGTGAACGAAATCGCCGTTATCCAATAGCCTCGGCGAGACTCTTGGTTCTTACAGGAGGTAGGACAATCTATGTATGCGTACATACACGGGAATATTCGACCCCAGATGTTAGCCTAGTCTAGTATATTGACGCAGGTCGTCGGTCCGTTTCATCGTTCGGGATAGTATTGTCCCGAGCGTCATAATTATTTGAAATATTGGAACTTCTTGCAAATTTTGGAACATACTTCTGGTATCTGTACGGAATATATATTTAGGGAGTTGTTACTTGCACATCCCTGCCTGTACCGCCTTTCTAATTTGGTACCACTCAGAATTCTGCCATATCTCTGTGACAGTTGGTACAAGATAGGGAAGGAGTGACTTAATTCTGCTAAGAGTTTACATACATACGAACTGTAGGTACTCTTTCTATAAGTGGCCTTGTCCCTGCTCTACCGTCCTACTCACTTTATATAACCACAAATTGATGCTACATACATCAAGCGGTTCCATAGCTCAGTTGGTTAGAGCGCTGTGCTAATAACGCAGATGTCGAGGGTTCGACCCCCTCTGGGACCATTCTTTTTTGTTTTTTGTTTTTCGATAAATCTTATCAGAATGTGATAGTTATGGCTCATTTAAGCCTTAAACAGGAACATTGGTTTTTGTTATAGTCTAGTGGAAAATATGCTGCACGATTTTCCGTCAAATCCTCTTCTATCAGTATCCATCAATCGTCTTTGGACTTTGATCGATCTTCCCATCTTCTATCAGCTTCACCTCTCACTTTTTCAAATTCAACCCAATGGCCAAGCATTACACGATAGCTCGAAGCTCTCTGTTCTGTACTAGACGTGCAGCAATCAAAAGCAAGCCACCTAGTAGCAAGGATACCCCTGAAAATATTGACAGGGAAAGGTACCCGTACTTCTCGAGCAGAGCACCACTGATGGGCACATTTGCCATAGCGCTGCAGTTCCAGTCAGCATACTACATTATCATTTCAAGATATGGGGGTCATACGATAGAGCTGTGGCACCCGACACAGTCCCAATTGCCAAGCCAAGAGTGGTAGAAGTAGCAACCTGGGCGGCACAAGCTTGCTGGAGGGATAAAATGCCCTACAAATCTAGTCAGCATTCGAAGTTTATACCATTCGAGGATAACTCACTCCAGACGCAAAGCCATAGGCAGCGGACCAAATTACCAGACCGGCCACAGATGTGACTTTAGTCCAGCACAATGCAACAACCCCTGCGGATATAGTTGCTATGATGCAACAGTTGAATTTTCCGTACTTGTCGGCAACGATGCCAGGGAGGACTCGACCGAAGAATGAAGCCCCATTCACAATGGAAACAGTATAGAATGCCAGAGATGTCGAGAATCCTTTCTCAACCGCGTAGGAAGTCGTGTAGAAAAACGGCGAGAACATGCCAAAGTATGTAATGAACATGGCGAGGCACAGTAGCTGCAGCGACGGTTTTCGAAAAAGGGCCATCGCTTCTGCCTTGTGACTCTGCGGCTTATCCTTTTGCTCCGCGGTATCTTCGTCACTTTTCTGGTTTGAATCACGACTCTCCAAATTGATTGCAGGCGTATTCGGAGATTTGGCGACTGCACAAGAGAAGATAAAGCAAGGAATCATGATAAATCCGACGATTCGCATGGTCCAGGGAAACCCAATCTTGGGCTTATTGATCAGTCTGTCGATTGCAACGGGCCAGATAACTCCGCCGAGCGATGAACCCGCAAGCACAATCCCCATCGCGGCAGCACGCTTCACTTTTATATATTGTCCGACCAGTGCGAGCATCGGCCATGTCACCATAGCCATGGAGACACCTAACAGAATACCCTGAGCGAGGAGGAATTGATAGAACTCCTGGCATAGTGAAGTCATCATAATTGCAAAAACACACCCGAATGAACCAACATATACCATGAACTGTTCAAAGGAAGTATGAGTTTTATTTCTCGACGATTCAGGAAGAGTATGCTTACCGTTGGTCCAAAGATATCAAGCATTGCTCCCGCCACGACAGATATAGCAAACAAAAAGAATATTGACACAGCTCCGATCCATGCGATGGTAGATGTCGAGGTTGAGGATAGCTGGTTTTTTGTGTAGTACTCTTGGAAGATACCGAACGAGTTCATAAACCCCACGGTGCAAAAGGTACAAGTGAAGGCGCCTAATATAACTAGCCATGCTCGGGGCCTAGAAGAGGTTAGTGCACTGGTCGGCTACATATCTTGTAGCTTGAAGTATATTTCACTTACGTGTATTCAGTTGGAGGACTATCCTTTGGTGACATTTTGGCAGAAATGAAATGGCTCTAGTTAAAAGCAAGATGACTACGGAATACCATGACCTTTATAAGAAATCTGACTCCTTAATTACATCTGAAAATCACTCTCGGAGTCTCCGGGCTACTGTCTAGATGCCCCGGAGGAAGAATTGACAGATATGGTTTAGCGTCTCGGAGAATCCGCGGAGTCTCCGGGCCAACACTTCAAGCTGTCTCCTATGCGAAAAACGCGCTGTTTCTTTGCTTTCGCTGGGTCACTATTATTAAACTGTTTTCGGGGAGATTGAAAACATGAAACGAAGACAAGTTTCTGGAGTCGTCACCCCAGGCCCGAAAAGACAGTCTCGACAAGACCCCGTTTCCTGCGAGTCCTGTCGAAAGAAGAAGCTGAAGTGCGACAGAGAGCTTCCCTGTAGTAGCTGTTCTTCGCGTAAACTGGAGTGCAGCTATGGCAGCTACGCCTCGGGGACAACCCCTGTGCGACCCATGAGCCAAACAGATCGGAGGCCCATGTTGGACGATCGCGTATCTGAGCCACCTCGGACCTTGCAGTGGACTCCACGACAGGACACGGAGACACAAAGTCGCAATGGAAATGAGCCCCTTTTGACAGCCGATTGGCTTGAGACAATTGTTATGGGACACCGTATCCCTAGTGCAGTCCCTGCTACACTGAGGGCGGAGATCTCCCAGCGGGAACCCGAACGCTCGCCTTCCCAGCAAAACAGCACACCTGGTGATCGATTGCCTCCGATGTGTGAACGACTCGCCTCTCGCGAGAATCCGGCGACAATTCATCTGCAGTCGTATTTGCCACCACTGGCAGAAGCGCTGAGTCTATTTCGGTATTATTGTAAATACCTTGACTTCCAGTATCATGTCATCATCCCCAGTCGCGTGGAACGACAAATTGAGACGATTTACGAGCGTGTTGAGCGAAATGAGTCTATCAACTTGGCGCACACTGCTCTACTGTTCAGTATCACTGCTGCTGCCCTGTATTACCAACTCCTGATAGAGTCATCCGAGCACGCAGAACAATTCAGTCAGGACAGTACATTTTTGGCAGGCGCTGCATTGATCCAGAGCAATTATATCCCTTATCCCAGCCTCGAAGGACTGCAAGCGACTATGATCATTGGCCATCATCTGTCCAACATGAACTTGCCCTCCTCCGTCAGCCCGTTATTTGTGCATAGGTCATTTGTGAGTCAAGCCACTAGTATGGGGCTTCATATTGTGGACTGTCCTCGGGTTATTACCGAACGCTTAGCAAATGGATTTGATAAAACGAATGTTGAACTCAAACGACGGCTGTGGTGGGACTTGGCAACATACGACTGGTACGTTCTTAACAAAGACCTTGCCGGTACTATGACTGATGATATCTGAAGGTTAATAGGCTTTTTGAGTGGACCCCAAGAGTGGACGTACTCGATCCAACCTAAGCATATGGTTGTAAATGAGCCTCTCAATATTGAGGATGAGGAAATCAACCATAGCGAACACGGTGTTCCTCTATCTACTCCGACCGCAATGTCATACAGTCTATGTCGATTGAAGTTGGCTGTTGTGTGTCGTCAAATAGTGGATGAAACGTCATACTACCATTTCCATGGGCAAGAGGCACCCTACGAGAAGATACTTGAGCTAGATCAAAAGCTTCACAAGGTACGCGCTGAGATTCCCGGCTTCTTTCGCTATGATCAAGCATCCCAACGTGAATTTTCGGTGGTCTATCGTGAACGACCAACTCTTGCATGGCAGCGAGCGCTGGTACAACAGGGCTATCATTCGCGGCTCTGCCGCTTGCATCGCCACTACTTTGTGCGTGGAGCAAAGGACTCCAAATATTCCTATTCGCATATCGTATCGCTTCAGTCTGCGCGCAAGGTGCTCGAACTGAAACGCATTATGGATGAGGAAGAGCCTGTGTTCACACCGCACAGCTCGATTATATGGGCAGTCATGCACCACGTTTTTATGGCAGCTGCCATTCTTCTGATAGATGTTTGTTTCAACTGGGATGATATTCTGGCAGAGAAACGAAAAGAGGAGGTACTCGACGCTTGTCGAATGCTCAGTCGGGCACAACAATACTCTCCAATGGCACGTGAAGGAATCAAAGCCATGATGGAGATCTTGCGGAGGCATTGGAAACACGAAAGAAGAGTAAGCTCTCGCGACTTACAGGAGCTTTCTGCATCTTCGAATCCAAATCTCACAACAGCCAACGCCTCGCAGCCGGATATCCCCACGCCTGTTTCATTGGGTTCCAAGAGCATCACATTCCCTCCAGAAATACCCAACGTTCAATCGACAATGTACCCTTCACAAGATGCATTGCTTAGTCCGTTGCCTCTCGAAGACATATGGACGGAGATGCTAGAGAGCAGCGCTAATGTTGAGCTCAATGCACCAGACTGGACAGACTTGCTCACTGAGTTGACAAATGTTACTTTGCCTAGTGAATAATAAGAGATAATCTCTTCCATCAGGCTGATTGGATAATGAACACATGACATGTATGATTTACAGAAGCCTACTGCAGATAGAAACCTGCCCAGACCGTTTCTGCCCTAGATTGGTAGCACCTGCTCCCTATTTCTACCTTGTTTGATCTTCCTTCTTCTCTCTCTCCTAGCCAGCTAACACAATAAAACCCATAGCTTTCTTTTCCATCCAAAGCCATCTGCTTTGATGCTTCTTTGACGCTCCAAAACCAAAACACTCATTTACTTCCAACCATCATCCACAAAAATAGCCAAACTCGAAGATATGTCTGACGAAACCACCCATCATACAGAGGCCAGTATGAAACCTGACATTCAATCAATCGTCGACCTTATCCAGACTGGAAAAGCCACACAGATTGTCGTCTTGGTTGGCGCTGGTATCAGTACCAGCGCCGGGATCCCAGATTTCAGAACTCCAAACACAGGCCTTTATGATAAGCTCGCTCCACTGCAACTCCCTTGCAAAGAGGCGATATTTGATGCTCGGTATCTCTGGGCAAAGCCTCAGCTATTCTACACATTGGCCCGGGCACTTCACCCGGGAAATTTCAAACCGACTGTCAGCCATGTGTTCCTGGCACTGCTAGCGAGAAAGAATCTGCTTCATCTTGTTATCACTCAGAATTTCGATGAGCTTGAGGAAGATGCAGGGGTTCCTCACAAGATTTACTGGGCTCATGGAAACTGGAAGAGTCAACATTGCATTAGGTGCAAGAAGCCACCATATTTCGACGATCTCGTGGACAAAGCGATTCTCGCTGGTGAAATACCCCGTTGTTATAGGTGTAACGGTCCGGTTCAGCCAGATATTGTATTCTTTGGGCAATATTTGACTGGGTTTGAGGAGGAGGAGAGAAAGGTCCGCGAGGCGGACTTGATGCTTGTTATGGGAACTAGTTTACGTGTACCACCTTGCTCTACTCTGCCAACGAAAGTGGAAGAGGGGGTTCCTCGGGTTTTGATCAACAATGAAAAAGCAGGAGATCTAGGTGATCGAAACGAGGATGTGTGCATCCTCGGGAGTTGCGACGACGGTGTTCGTCAATTAGCTGATGCACTTGGGTGGGGAGAGGATGAACGGTCTCTGGAAGGAAGCAGTTGCTGCTAAGAGGGACTCTGACAGTTTTGGGGGTGGTCCTAGTCTTGATGAGTGCATTGAGAAATTTGCCAGTAGCATGAAGGGCGAGATGGTGTCGGATGGGCAGCAAAACATTTGAACGACAAATTTGGGTAGAAAATAGCGAAGGGCTCATAGAACGCGGCACCGTGTCCGTACTCGGCGCGGTCGATCCCATACACGATTTGAACAGAGTTTGAGATTTCTTGCTTTCTGAAATGCTTTTAGGGGCTCGGATTCATAGTGCGTACTGGTTTGTCTAGAAAGTGTGGTGAGAACAAAGAATATACTATTGAGTACACGAACCTTCACTTATAAGAGAGCTGAGTTCCATCCGCCCCACGTTACTAGCAGCAAATGGTCAGTGGATAAACACCTCATATTGCTGACTTGCAGCCTAGCTATTTTTACAAGTAATACACTTGCTGGGAGAGGTAGATCTATAATTGCCCGTATATTAGTGACCAAGATCTGCACCGTCGGCCTGCTCAACAGGGATTTTCAGGGGGCTCCAACATTGTGTTGGCCGGGTTCCTCTGGCGGGCAGCTTGGGTTATCATTAGTCATTGAACTAAATGTATCTGGAAGGAGTACTTACTGGGTCCCGTCATCTGGGGTAATATCCTGCTGGCGATTGTGAGGTCATCCTGAGTAGGGCGCGGTGTCTGTGGCGCACCGGGCTCCTAGTTACCACCCTTGACACTAGAAGGCATGTTGGGCGATTCGGTGCTAGCAATCTTAAGAGATATGCTATATTCATAAGGCAATAAAAGACTAAGAAAGGGCAAAGGGACAATCAGGCTATATAGAAAGAAGCCCACATCTCTAGTTATTCTCTTAATCTAAGAGGAATTAACAACAGCCAATTAAATATAGGCTAAATTGAAATTCCCTAAATTAGGAAATGAGACATAAATTACCGCGAATTCAGAGCTTTACGGTTTATCTCTATCTCTTCAAACCGTAGAGCTTTTTTGGGGATTGACTTCCATGCTTCTTCAACATTCATCAGACCCTGTCGAATCCGCTGCCGATTTAAGGAGACTCTTTTCCGGGTTTTTGGTGGAAGCGGTTTACCATATAAGTCCACAAAGAATTTGTCCTCCGGCGGCAGACTGAGAAGAATATCCGGAGGGATGCAGCCGACTAGATAGTGATACTGCATTTTAAAATACCTCGATATGCGTTGGTTGCCGCCCGGGTTCAATGCGTTTTCGACAATAACATCGATCAGAGCTAGGAATTTAAGAGAAGATCAGTACACGAACAGGACAAACAAAGACTGAAGCCAAGACAAAGTTGAAAGAGGCAATCATGCTATGATGCTTACCATCCAAATAAAATAGCCGCTTTGGAAATCGGCATCGTGTAGAATCATGTAGGAATGTGTTCGTCGATAGACTCGATTCTGAGAGATCCATATGCCAGAAGCTCGCGGGAACAAGCATAACCCCCGGGAAGACGGATGCGCAAGGCATCACTAGTCTGTATCCTGGCCAGCCTAGAGGGGAAACCCTAGCATCCTTATCCACATATATATCGCGGACTGGGGATGCTTGGAATCCTTGCTGAAGAACGACAGAGCGGGCATCTTCAAGTTGCTCGTCTGCAACCGCAAGATAAAATTCGCAAATGACTAAGGGATAGCCGAGAATCCCAATAATAGCATCGCCGGTGATACAGTGTCTGATTCCGTGCTCCTCGAGAGATTCCGATACGTGATAAAGGGGCCATGAGGAGGTTTCTTGAAGAGGTCGATCGGCGACGTAATCAGCCATTTGTCATATCGGGTGCGGAATATATTGGAAACCGGATTGTGGAGAGCTTTTGAGCTCGTTGGGGTTTGCCAGCGGAGGAGGCAGGAAGGATGCAGCAAATACAGTTGGATTGATGCTAACCGATGGACTGAGAGTATCTCAACTAATCTACAGGTGCACTTCGGTCATGTGACCGTTACATGTCGGATGACGTGATTGCCGACTCCAATCCTGGAATAGGGTTGGGCTTAGTCCACGGGTTGCCAGTTCCTCCTTATGCAATCACCTACTTTGGCGTTGAATATTTTATGTGGCATATATCGGAGCGAAGCGAAGCAGTTAAATCGTAACCTCGTGTGCATATCACGTGACTGTTGTTTTATCCTATGGAATTAATGCGGTGAAATCCCATCGGCTAACTTTGGCAGAATAATCCGACCGGCAGAATAAATATAGACTAGGCCTAATCTGGCTAGACGATACTTTATTCCGTGCTACATAGTGAAGAGGGATCCCTAGGATAGGGGCACCGACAGCCCTGCCTGCGGAAGAGGTGTGAGAGCAGAGTCATCACTGGGAGTGGTAGGGTGCTAGAGAGGAGAATACCATGGGGTGACTACTGAGAATGGAAGTGGAAAGGTGTCTGCGTTGCTATCTAGTTATGCCTCGGGAGTGCTTTTATGTCACATAGCCGCTTAGTCATCCTGCCCTGGAAACCCCACTGCAATAGTTACTATGTTGTAGTTAAAGAAGTTAGTTAACTACACCGTACTAACTAACTAACTAACTAATAAAGCAGTTTCTCAAGCAGTTTCTCAAGTGGTTGTGCTAGCGGTTGTTCAAGCAGTTGCTTAAGTAGTCGCTAAAGTAGTTAACGATAAAGCAGTTGATGAAGCAGTTAATAATATTGATATGATAAAAGGGACTTAATTTTATTAGTAGTTTGCATACAAATTAAAGGTACCTACTGCCTTACTACATACTACCATATGGCAGGGAATATGCCCAATTGTAAAAGCAGTATTGAGATTACAGGCAGGGGGAGAATAAGCCAGTAAGAGAGGGGCTTTGCGTAGCATTAGAAGTTGGAATCAGTCGCTTTGCTCTGCAACGATTATCTGGAGGCCTTAGGCCGTCGAGGTCACTCGTATTCACCCCGCATTTCCTCTTCTCCCTCTTCTTCTTCTCCCTCTTCTTCTTCTGCCCTCTTCTTCTGTCCTCTTCTTCTTCCCTCTGTTACGATCTAGGCTCGTTGGTTCCTTCCTTCTTGGTGGAAGTCATTCCTTCCTAAACCGTAAGTGAGCATACGAGATTTCCCTGGTTTGCAAAGGTACAAAAGCCCACAATAGTCCTGATTCCTATTCCTTTCCTTTCCTTCCCCCCTCATTTTCAATACTCTACTTAGAATGCACTCTTTTTCATAAAGACCCGGCGCGTAACATCCTCTTCTGTCCTCTTATCGCAACACCGTTTCTTCGCCATATCAGGTTTGGCCCTGTGGAGCGTGATTTCTCTACTTGAACCTCTGCTAATCAATATTCAGTTGCTATGGCCACCGACTCAGCGAATATTACTGCGTGCGTCAACGCTTTGCGTGATGTCATTCCCACAAGCTTTATTCTCGTAGGCGGCGCTGCCGCCAACATGCAAGGCCACGACCGAGTCACACAAGATGTCGACATTCTGATCCGCGATCCAGCAATCCTACACGATCTCAAAAATTTCGGCGGCTTCAAGTTGGTGGAGGGAAAGTTACATCATGAATCGGTTCCAATTGATATTCTGACCACCGTTGTCGAAACGTTCTCATATGACGAGGTTAAGCAAGCCGAGGCCTTTGAATCCATCCAGGGCATCCGTTTCCTAAAGCCGGATTATGCGCTAGCAGCCAAAGTGAGGTGTTCATATCTTCGGCAGGAAGACGAAAACGGGACCAGCAAGCGACAATCTGATCTTGAGGACGCAATCTTCTGGGCTGAAAAGCTTGAGGAGGCTGGCCAGCAAATTTCTGACGCCTGCGCCGAGCTCCTGCCGGTCAGCTACTATCAAGTGATTTTGATAAGGACGTATATGGACCCCGAAGATTTTCAAAAGCTAGTGCACGCAGGCCTTAGGAAGCTCCTCATCCCATGGGAAGAGAACTCGGAAGAGCAACGTGAATATTATTTGTGCTTTGCTGAAGAATCGACCGATCCTTTTACGGTGGAGTTTGAATGAGAAGGATGATGATGATGACGATAACGATAAATCTGCTTAATGAAGATGTTACGTGTGCTTGTCAACAAGGCATAATTCGGTGCTTAGTGGAAATGATCATATCTTTTACTACAGGGCATGTTTTAACAGAATATAACCTTCAGATCCAGGCTTTCTTACATTTAATTATTGATGCATGGTCGCGTGCTATAAATGAGACTCCTCATGTATACAGAACTAGCAGACCTTTGCGACCTTTACCGAAGATGGGGTTAAATGAAAGCATTGTCTTATATATAACTAGGAGATTGCGAAAGGAATCAAGCAGAATAAGGCATAATCAGGCAGGTGGGGGGGGGGGGGGGGGGAAAAAAAAAAAAAAAAAAAAAATATAAATAATAAAAAAAAAAAAAAAAATTTAAAAAATATGAGGTGTGTGATAAACAACAATTTATTTTTTTTTTTGTCAAACTTT